TTCAATTTACATGAAATTTCTACTGAAGCTACATAACACACTGTTGCAAAAATAAGCAGAAGAATAATTTAGCTATCTTCAATACTATTTTATACATAATTGTTTGCAAACCTTATAGGTTGAAATTAATTAGTCATTTGTAGAAAATTCATTATTAAAAAAGTTTCTGCAAATATGTAAATTTTCTTCTATGGATTTTGTCACATGCATGTGGACTATCTAAATCCAAAAGTTGGACATGAAATTATAGATAGTTACTGAGGAAAAGTTTTTTAAAAATTGTATGTAAAAATGTACATTTAATCGGCTAACGATTACCATGAAATATTTTTTTACACCAAAGTGTATTAAACATATATACTAATGCCATGCATGAGTAAATTTCTGTAAAATTGTTAAGTTGTGAGTAAAATGGTTTTTCATGAGTGTCCCCCCTTAAACGTACTCAAGACTCGATGACAATACATTGTGACATAAAATTAGACTTAAGTTGTTTAATTAACTTTAAAAAATAATTTAATATTTACTTTATAATGCACTTATTTTCAGCTATATTATACACTCTATTTGCGTTCATTTCACGCACAATTCTTATTTCTATGCGATTCTGTTCTACTTAAAAAATAAACATATACGTTTAGGGAAGATAACCCCGGCTTTATTTCATTAAACTCTTAACATTTATATCTGTCGGTCGAGTGATTGCCTACCTTTGAAGTACAGTTCAGATGTCGGATTAATGAAGAGTGAGGTCATTTTTTTTTAAAACGACCTAGGATTTTATCCTAAAATTTATACATTTAAAAGGCATCCCTTTTAAAATATGACATAAATGTGAAAAAATGTATTTATATTTCGGTATTACTGATTTAATTTAAATTATGACGAACATTCGCAAAAATCTATCAAGCTCTAATCTTTAAAAAAAAATTAAAAATGCATCAGAGACCATGACTGCTCAGCTGAAATTTGTGAACTTCAACCGTTGTCTAGCGGTAGAGAGCTGGACTGCTAACCCGTTAGTCTCGAGTTCGAATCCGGGTTTAAGTCAGTAGACCGTCCCTGAGTCTACCCAACTCTGATGGGTACCTAACTCGCGTTAGGGAAAGTAAAAGTGGCTGGACATAGTACTGACCACACTATCTCTTCATATGCCGAGGTCACAGAAAAAAAGTGAACTCTACTTCACTTGCCCCATAGACCGTCAGGTTTGAAAGGGAAACTTTACTTTAACTGTTGTGATGTATCTCTTGATCCTAACTGTGACTCTTGTGTTGGCTAAGGACTAAAATATGACGTCATTTAGGTGACGGGTGTCTGCCTTAACCAACGACATCATACCAAAACAAAAGAGGGTAATCTAAAAACGCGACAAATCCGTTAATCCCGTACAGTTTTAAACACAATAAATCTGTAATCCCCTACAGTTTTAAACGCAATAAATCCAGTACAGTCTTCTTAGTGTAGTAAGGTTAGATGAAGTAGGCCACCCTTTGTTCTGACGTCATGGCGTCGTTTGAAAAACAGTTTGCCGCCATTTAAGATTAGATACGAGATCTTGACCTACCTTGATCCGTCTCGGTTGTCAGTAGAGGGCGCTGATGGGCGGAAGTGGGGAGAATATTTTTTGTCGAGTTCTAAAAGAGCAGTACTACAGGGTTTCCTAAACCTGCTAAGATCACCCTCATTTTTCTGATACTCTACTACGTTGAATCAAACAAACATAACTACAGAAGGATGCATGTTCTATCATTTATTGATATTTCTACCTACATCAGAGTCTGTGTTTACGTGTATGAGAATTTGTGGAAATTTGTGTGTGTGAGAGTGTGTGCGCGTGTGTATGTGTGTGCGTGTGTGTGTGTGCTTCTGTGTTCGTGTGTGTGTACGTGTTCGTGTGTGTGTGTGTGCGTCTATACCCTTCTAGACCTCTGAATACTAAAACATTGTCGAGGAAGTGACTGAATGAGGACAGTCTAGAGTTGTCCCTGACAAACTGGCTTAAGCCACTTTTTTATGTTTGGATTCTCTCACGTAGGCCAGGATAGTGTCGATAGACTCGACCAAACTATCACATTTCCGTACATACGTACGTATATATATATACATATATATATATATATATATATATATATATATATATATATATATATATATATATATATATATATATATATATATATATATATATATATAAACAAAAATATGCAAATCCACATTTTAACATGCAGACGAATGTAAATACACGCATACATGATATATTCACAAAAAGGAAATGAAAAGTTAATATTTTTTTAAAATTATGTAAGCAATTAGATAAGACATCCCTTCCCCCCCCCCCCCCCCCCCCAAAAAAAATGTACACACAACAAAACATCTTTCGTTCATTAAGACAAAAAAAAATATACAGACAAAAATGTCATGTTTGTTAATATATTATGTCCTAGGTCTTCGCAGCGAGAAACCTTCACCTGGGGAATCTAGAGTAGCAAGGTTAACTCCCCTGCGGAAAGGTTTTAGCGTACATAACAATCTATTAACTTATATAACTATCACACCTTGGTTTATATAACAAATTATACCTTGTATAACTGTCAAACTGTTATTTGAATAGTTCTCACAGTTATGTGCATTTACAAAATTCAATTATTGTTTATAACAATTCAAACCTGGTTTAAATAACAATGGAACCATTACTTATATAACTATTCAATATTGACCTACATGACTGACCAACCAAGCTTATATAACTGACACTGTTATGTAATGATTATGTAACAATGCAACTATTGCGTGTATAACAATTCAATCTTGATGTATATAGGCGAACTATCCACATATCACGTATATAACACTACACTCTTGTATTATATAACCATGCAACCATTACATTTATAACTGCTCAGCCTTGGTTATGTAACTGTCACAACTATTCTTATGTAATTAACTTAATATTACTTATATAACTGTTACAACTATGCTTATATAACTATTCTACTTAAACATAGATTATTTATCTGTTACAACTATATTTATATAACTGTCACAACTATGTTTATATAACTGTCACAACTATGTTTATATAACTGTCACAACTATGTTTATCTGTCACAACTATGTTTATATAACTGTTACAACTATGCTTATATAACTGTCACAACTATGTTTATATAACTGTCACAACTATGTTTATCTGTCACAACTATGTTTATATAACTGTTACAACTATGCTTATATAACTGTCACAACTATGTTTATATAACTGTCACAACTATGTTTATCTGTCACAACTATGTTTATATAACTGTTACAACTATGCTTATATAACTGTCACAACTATGTTTATATAACTGTTATAACTATGCTTATATAACTGTCACAACTATGTTTATATAACTGTCACAACTATGTTTATCTGTCACATCTATGTTTATATAACTGTCACAACTATGTTTATCGGTCACATCTATGTTTATATAACTGTTTATATAACTGTCACATGTATGTTTATATATCTGTCACAACTATGCTTATATAACCGTCACTACGGTGCAGATATAACTGTCACAACCATACCAATATAACTATCCAATCATTTCTACCAGGCGCTAAAATTATCCCTTACATTTATAACTATTGTTTACATATCAAACAACATTTACTTCACTATCAATCAAAAGAATTCATAATTTTCAAATAACTGCTGCTATTTCATTTATAGCGATAGAACTGTACCTTACATATTACAAACTACGAACTCGTCGCTACTAGAACTTTTGAAGACAAGGTTTTTGCTGAAATTACCGTTTTTGACGTTGTGGAATTTGTAAAAAAAAATTAACGAAATGACCATTTTTGACGTTATGGAATTTGTAAAAGTTTTTTTTTTTACAGAAATGACCATTTTTTGTCACGGTGGCGAAAATCCGTAATTTGTCTTTTTAAAAAATGAACATGTATTAAAACCAAAAGATTAGCTTTGACCTTGAAAAACTATAATTGACCTCTACCCTCTCAGAATGTGTAACACGGGACGGGTCGTGTTCGCCGAGGTCACGTGGTCAACAGCTTCCCGTTGGTCCTTTCGGAAAGAGGCCCCGAAATCACGTGACATCTAAACTGCGCATGCCCGTCACCTGTCTGTAGAACTTCCAGCACGCCAAAATCTGAACTCTTCTCAGATTTATGCCCGTACGCTCGTCTATATTTAGCTCACACGGCCCGTGTCTATAGGCCGGCGGGGAGACATTAAGAACCCCCAGGACACGCCCCTCACCCTGTCCAGATTAATCTCCGGACGTCCAAGAAAAAACTTGATGTCCTACCGAATTTTTACCAGAAACCAAAAAATATTCAGCTGCCCCCAAAACAAGACGCCATGCCCCCCCCCCACCCCCCGCCGGGCTCTGATAGGTCCATCCGATGTGACACCTGTCATAGTTGACATGTGACAGATTAGGTTTTTATATAACTAAGTAAAAATGTTACATCACCAAATATTTTATACTTGGGGTGGGGGTAAAGTTAACCTCGGGAGAGGGGGGTATGTATACCAAAGCTTATGAAATCACTGCTGCCAGCTATAAAACTGGAAGCAAACGGCGCCCAGCATCAGAACTCTAGCTTCATTCTAGCTTCACTCTTGCTGAGGTAAATACAAATTGATACAATTTTTTTTTTGTTTTGTTTTATTTTTGTTTTTTAATTAATTTTTTTTTTGTTCCGTTAAAAAAATAAAATAACCGCCCGAATATTCAACTCGATAAAAGTTATTTTAACATCAGATTTAAAAATCTAAAATAACAAACCAATCAAAACAATCGTTATGTTTTGATACAATTTAACTGTGACAAAATATCAGAGTATCCGATCTCATAGAAAGGAGTTTTGTTAACTTACAAAAACTAAAATAATAAAAAAGATTTCCTGTCTATCGATCTATTTATAGCATCCGTAGAGCTGATTGGCTGACGGTGCTGCCTGTAGGGGAAGCTCTTCTATCGCCATGGCGATGTACTCGGACCAGATCGCCATTGTCGGCATCGGCTGCAAGGTGCCAGGCGCCGACAACGTCGAGCAGTACTGGAAGCTTCTAGAGAACGGGGAGAACCACGTCATCGACATCCCCAAGGAGAGATGGAACAACGACGCCTTCTACGACCCCGACCCCCACGCCATAGGGAAGTCGTACGTTCGCAGGGCGGGACTGCTGAAAGAGTGAGTATTGTTTTTATTTCTGCATCTTCCAGAAGTTTGCTTTCGCTGGCATCTTTGTTAGCGTTAAGCTCATTGCTAAGACAAGAACCGGGGTTTAGGGGTAAGGGTTAGTTCCTGTGTTGGGATAGGGCTAGTGTAACAATGTCTGAAAAGTAGCTTCGATAACCAATACAGTTCAGGAAAATATGAAAATAACGTCTTTTATATTGTAACCTCAGAGGACAGCGTGGTCTAGCGGTAGAGCGCTAGACTGCTAACCTGAAAGTCTCGAGTTCGAATCAGGGTTAAATTCTGTAGAACGGCCCTGAGTCCACCCAGCTCTGATGGGTACCTAACTCTGGGCATAGTGCTGAACCCATATGCCGACGTCATTGAAACAGATGAACTCTACTTCATCTGCCCCAAGTGTCTTGGACAGGAACATCAAAAAATTGATGATATTGTAACCTTCTTTCTCGAAAGAGACCTGCTGTGTTTGTTATTTTTGTTTTGCAGAAAATGTGTAACACTTTTTTTTTTTTTGCTCTTTATTTTCCAATTATTATTATAAGTGAACTAGGAAAACTCTCCTTTCCATTAATGTTGCTAGTCCATACGGGTAATAAATAAGCTAGAATTAAATTTCAAAAACATCGCAAAATTTGAAAAAAACAAGAAAGAAAAGAAAACGTTAAGATTAGAATTAAAAGTTGATTTTTGTCCAACATTTAATCCAAACCTTCTTCTGTAATAAAAACACACCTGCATGAAAACGTATATATATACATATGTGTGTGTGTTTGTGTGTGTGTATGTGTAATATAAGTCAAGCTTTGTCATGACAGCGGGAAGAAAAAAAGACAGCAAAGTCGGATTAAGCTGTCAATTTTCAATAACTTTAGTCCCTTTGTTTTCTAGTGGGGATTGCAGACTTTTTTATGTTACCGTATTATGTAATTATTTTCGTCCTGACGACGGTCAGCCGCATGCTCAAACAGCAGACGTCGCGAACGTTTATTTGGTTATTACTTATTTTTTTTACAAATTGTACAGAGGTAGTGAAACAATGTCGAGGAAATTAACAATAAATTAACGGTGGTGGAAGAATATATTTTTAAAACATTTGTATAAACTCTGCATTAACTTAGCCCACGGTTAAGTTACCTGAATGTTGAGAACATTAACACGTAGTCTAAAAATCAGTATAGTAAAATTGTCAACAGACACAATGATTAGCTAATAGGAAATTCTGATCTTGTTGGAAGCGCAATGGTGTGCAAGTTTTCCGTCCATAAACTTACTGCTAGTCATGTAACCAATAATTTCAAAAAAATAAAGTTTAATAAATTCATTAAAAAATCAACTATTCACCCAATTACATCAAATTGGATGTTAAAATGCGTTGTCATCGTATTTTGACCCACGAATTTCAGAGAAATTGATCGGTCAGAAGTACTCGATGTTTTCTGGCATCGTTCCTTGTAAGTTCCGCTCATTTTCCGGTCAATTCCAGTAACCGGCACTATTCTAATATGACATGAAACAATTTAAAAAACCTCTTTTCCTGGTAATAGTTTCACTTTTCTCGACTTATCCGACACTAGATGTAAAGAAATGTAAACATATTTTGTCCTGGTACTGTTACATTTTAATCTTCCGTCATTTTACCGGACCATTTTACACTTTTCTTCCTCTCTTCCGGCACTTTACCGGATCATGTTACACTTTTCTTCCTCTCTTCCGGCACTTTACCGGATCATGTTACACTTTTCTTCCTCTCTTCCGGCACTTTACCGGATCATGTTACACTTTTCTTCCTCTCTTCCGGCACTTTACCGGATCATGTTACACTTTTCTTCCTCTCTTCCGGCACTTTACCGGATCATGTTAAACTTTTCTTCCTCTCTTCCGGCACTTTACCGGATCATGTTACACTTTTCTTCCTCTCTTCCGGCAAGTTTACGACATCAAACTTAGTCGCTACACACCAGAGATGCTCTAACCTTTTCGTCTAGACGCGGGGTCAACGTCCTCTATTTACCTGTAGCTACTTGTCTCCCATGCCCTAATTTATAGCCCAGCTACCAGGTTTAGGATAGCAGTTATAAATTACTATCCTAAAATACAGAATGGGGTCTACAAAATTAGCGCGGCGTTCTACTCTCAGTTTCGTGAAATGAATAGTTTTAAGTTACAGGAAAATACTTGAAGAATAGAAAAAAAAATGTAGAGTATGCTAATTTTTTTGTTAGACCTCGGTTTGAATGGGAAGGGTCAGTAGCGTAGCGAGGGGGGGGGGGGGTCCCGGGCGCCGAGCTTAGGGGGCGCCAAAATGGGTTGGAAAAATAGATTGAAAGGTTGAGGGGGGTGCAAATCCAAAGTTTGAGGGGCGGGGGTGCAAATCAAAATCTCGAGGGGGGGGGGGGGTGCAAATCGAAAGTTTGAGGGGGGGGGGGGGGGGGGGTGCAAATCAAAATCACGAGGGGGGTGCAAATCGAAAGTTTGAGGGGGGGGTGCAAATCAAAATCTCGAGGGGGGGGGGGGTGCAAATCGAAACGTTTGTCCCCGGGCGCCGGGAGGGTCGCTACGCCTCTGGGAAGGGTTGATAGAACCTTATGGTGTCACTGGGTGGGTGGTCTTGATTTTTTTAGCATGTCTCAATATGGAGATGGGGGGGGGGGGTGGGGGAGGGTACAAAAATAAGCTAAACTAGTGTGACCTCGTTTATGAATAACCCCTTGCACCAAATATTACTCCAGTTACGTCAAATAAAAGGAAATTGTGAAGCAAAAACATAATTCTATTAACATAATCTCTGACTTCAAAACGGGGCAAAAAAAATAATTTAAAAAAAATAAAGCTCGAGATTGCTAGTGCACAGAGGTGATTTTCTATTTAATAGCGCACCAAAATGAATCTAGCGTCAAATTGTTTGGATGCCACACATACAGAGTGCAGTGTTTTAAAAATAATTCTAGAGTCTTGTCCCTTTTCATCCCACGACATCTCATCTTTATTTAATGTTCTGCCTGTCATGTCGCCGTCACATTTCTAGTACACGGTTCGCCGCGGGAGTACCGTACTCCTACGTCTGTCGGGTCCGGCGTGGCGGTGACACAATGACTTGATGGATGGATGGATGGATGGATGGATGGATGGATGGATGGACCCACCCCTCCCACCCACCCTCCGCCGGTCTTGTAATTTGATGGATGGATCTACCTTGAGCAGCCTGTAACAGATTTGAGTGTAAAATGGGAGAACACTGGGGACATTTGTATAACTTTCTACACAGGGTTGGTTAAAAAAAATAGTGTTGGAGTGGCGTAGGTTAGATGGAACGCGGCGTTTCTTTCAGACATTTTTCTCTTTTCTTCGGAGGGAGGCACTTAAAAATTCAGGGGGGGGGGTTAAAGTATATATATTTTCTATTTTGTCCGGTGGTGTACTTGCTACGATAGATAGTGCCCCGCCCCTCTATTCCCCTTGCCCCCCCTCCTTCCCGCCCCCCCCCCACCCCCGGTCGAAGAGATGCCTGAAATAAACTATGGTGGGGTGGAAGTGGGGGTAGGGGAGAACAAGCAAACAGTTGAGCAGATACACTTCTGCTTTTAATTTGTTGTAAAATACTGTATTCAGAATTTAAAGTATACACATGACAAATGGTGCTTGACTAGGAGTATGAATGGATTGATTGTGTGGTCAGCACTTTGTCCAGCAGTCTTTACTGGTGCCGACTTGAACCAGTTACCCATAAAAGGTGGGTGGAAACGAGGACGTCCAACGGACTGCTGACTGGGAACCGAACTCGAGACTTTCGCGTTAAAAAGATGTTTTTGTCGTCCCATATCTTTGTTTTATTATAGATGAAAACGTGTAGGCCTATCTGTATCTCTTTTAACCTGATATCTGATAAAATGTACTCCGTAAGCGTCAGGAATTGTAGCTTTCTAGGAATGTAAGATACATTTAATATTTGCTTCTTTCTTTTTCTTCTTCTTCGTTCTTAATTCTAGTGTTGGAAGAGACTCCCTCAACACAACTAAGTATTACGGGTTAACTTGTAACGCAGCATTGAGGTCGTTGACTCCGATTTCAGCCTGCTTTTCTTTCAAGATTTGCTTCCCTAGCCTTTGTCCAACCAAGAACAAACTACAAGGCAGCAGTTGTTTGATTTTGGAGTTGCCTCTCCTAGACGAATTGCTGTCTCCGGCTATAGAGCCGCATCTGCCCGGCATTTCGAACTCGGGACTTTTCGGTTCTGCTTATTAGCTAACTCAGTATAGTCGCATCCTATTTTACTGTGTGCAGTTTAAAATGCGTGCAATCGCCTCCACCCCCCCCCCCCCACCCCAACCCATCTTTACTCCCTTCCAACATTCACTTTCCCTAACCCAAACATACAATCAATATCTTCAATGTTAGGGCTGTATTGTAAAACACCCATTCTATTTTTTTTAAACTACCGGCATTTAAAACTCATAAAAAAGGCTCATTCTATATTACTGTTTTTTAAAACACCATTTGTGATTGGGTCTACTATGAACTCCCCCCTCCAGCCCCATCGCCTTCGACAACAAACTGTTCAACATCAACGACTTTGAGGCTGACCAGATGGACCCCCAACAGCGATACGTGCTGGATTGTTCCTTTATGGCCATGGAGGACGCTGGCATCACGCGTGATAAGCTGGCTGGTTCTAATACAGGGGTCTATGTGGGTAAGTGGTGAGGTGGTTGTAATAGTTTATATAATTATGTGGTTGTAACAGTCGATATTTTAGAGTTCCCGTAACAGGTGTCTCTGTGGTTATGTGGCTAGGTATCATTTATACGTAGATAATTGTGTGCTTATAACAGTGGTTCCAACTGTTTATACGATTAACCAGGGTTACTTTCAGATATTTTTCTCCGGTGAGGGGACGACACTTAAACTTTTAAGGGGGCGGGGGGCGGCACACGTAAAAGTTCTGGGTGGGGTTCGAACGCTGGTAAAAGTAGATATTATATTCTATATAAATTATATATTTTATCATTTCGTCCATCCCCCCCCCCCCGCCCCCGAAGAGATGCCTCATAGAAAATCTGCCAGTAAAAGCTAAGCAAATTCTACATTCAGGACCAAACTTGTTGTGTAAAACAGGTTTCCTCCCGTATTGCCGGACTTTTATTCTAGGCGGGGCGTGAGGAAGGTGTGATTGTATTTTGTCTCACCAGAAGAATTAAACGAGAATGTGAAACTCTCCAGGTGCCATGAACGGCGACTACAGAGGTTTGTTCACAGCCAAGTCTTCCATCGTCGGCAACTACACCGTGACCGGTATCTCTAACAGCATCATCGCCGCCCGTGTGTCCTTCGTCTTCGACCTGCGGGGACCGTCCATGACACTGGACACTGCCTGCTCTTCTGCCCTGCTGGCCATACACATCGGTGCCCAGGCATTGAGGACAGGTGAGTCGCTTATGTTTGACATATAGAGGCGCTCGTTCTTTTTGAAACATGCGTGTTATATCTTGTTTAGTTCTCGGATTATTGAAATACATAATTGACTCTGTAAAGTAATAGGGGCTTTCGGAGTAGACACATGGTCTTGTCTAAAACATTCAGCAATTACAGATACGTTCAACAATTTCTTTAAATTGTAGAGGTCCTCACTAAAGTTTACCAAAGTAGAATACTATTACTCATATTATTTTTTTCAGAAATTTAGATGAGAAAACATGATCATTTTTAGGGGGGGGGGAGATTTTTTCATGTGTAGCCGTAAGAAAAGTACGCTGCATGAAGATCTTAAGAACGAAAAGGCAACTTCTCACTTGTATGAAAAGATAAATTACTGCAAGTGGCCGGAATTGTCAGAGACGCCGAGTCATCATTAAAAACTACATCAGAATAGTCACCGGAATAATAAGTCACCGGAATAATAAGTCTTCTGAAAACCGAATTATCCTAATACCGAATCGCCAAAAAAAAAAACAGATTTTTAAATCCTGGACAAGAAAAACCACAACTATCATTCAGCTACAGATAATATTTCTTTCATCACGTTTTGTTCTATCCAGGTGACTGCGACATCGCCCTGTGTGGGGGGACAAACTTCCTCATGTCCCCGGACGTCTTCGTCCACCTCAGCAAGGCCCACATGGTCTCCCCCACTGGACAGTGTTTCGCCTTCTCAGACAGTGCTGACGGCTACACCAGAGGGGAAGGGTGCGGCATGGTCATCCTCAAACGTTTAAAAGACGTAAGTCAATGGTCTTTGTCTAACTTTTAAAAGACGTAAGTCGATGGTCTTTGTCTAACTTTTAAAAGACGTAAGTCGATGGTCTTTGTCTAACTTTTAAAAGACGTGTCGATGGTCTTTGTCTAACTTTTAAAAGACGTAAGTCGATGGTCTTTGTCTAACTTTTAAAAGACGTAAGTCGATGGTCTTTGTCTAACTTTTAAAAGACTTAAGTTGATGGTCTTTGTCTAACTTTTAAAAGACGTAAGTCGATGGTCTTTGTCTAACTTTTAAAAGACGTGTCGATGGTCTTTGTCTAACTTTTAAAAGACGTAAGTTGATGGTCTTTGTCTAACTTTTAAAAGACGTAAGTCGATGGTCTTTGTCTAACTTTTAAAAGACGTAAGTTGATGGTCTTTGTCTAAATTTTAAAAGACGTAAGTTGATGGTCTTTGTCTAACTTTTAAAAGACGTAAGTTGATGGTCTTTGTCTAACTTTTAAAAGACGTAAGTTGATGGTCTTTGTCTAACTTTTAAAAGACAAACGTCCAAGACACCAGGACTTTAAAAAATTCAACCCATGATCATTTAGAAAACTAAAAGTTTTAAAAATATAACAAAAATAAAATGATCGTTCAGTCAGAAACACAATCACGTGACTCATGTTGTGTTCCATGCTCAGGCTCTGAGGGACGGGGATCGCGTCTGGGCAACCATCGACACGGGGTCCAACCAAGATGGCCACAGCGTGACGCCAATCTCAGCGCCCTCTGGCGACCAGCAGATCAAGTTGTTAGACCACGTGTACAAGATAGCCGGTGTTGACATCAATAAGATTGACTACATAGAGGCTCACGGTAAGTTTCGAACTGATCACAAACATTTTCGAGCGAGTTCGAGTCCGCTCTAAGTTAGACCAAATACCACGATTCTTTAAAGTGCTCTGGTACTGATTTAGGCGGAAGGTTATTTTTCGAGTTCGAATCCGGGTCCAAGCCAGTAGAACGTCACTGAGTCCACTAAGCTCTTATGGGTACCTGACACATGTTAAGGAGAGCCATGGCGGTTGGGCAACGTGCTGATCACACCTTCCCTTTATATGCCGAGGTCAAGCAACATATGAACTTTACTTCATATGCCCAATGGATTGCTAGGATTTAAAGAGGATTATTATGTACACTTACCACGATATTATATTTTGCGGCTACTGTTAGCCAACAATCCAATTTATTTTTCATCACTTTAATTCGGCTTACGGTAAATATAATGTAGTCAATACAATGGCATGCCTTTTTAATACATACGAGATTGTAACTAATCACCGGAATAAGTAATGGAACATACTAGAGTGAGGAACAGTAACTGTCGATTCATTCTCCTTCTACTTAAATCATTAAATATGTTATTGTATTAACAATGACTTGAGGTAAAAAAAAAACTTATTTCAGGTACTGGAACATCCGCTGGTGATCCAGTAGAAGCAAACGCCTTAGGTAAATTTTTCCAGGAGAAAGGGGCCGTCCGCCATCGCTACATCGGGTCAGTGAAGACAAATCTAGGTCACCTGGAGTCGGCCGCAGGTACCGCTGGCCTCATCAAGGTCCTGCTGATGATGAAACACTCCAAGATCGTCCCCTCCCTGTTTTTTGACAAGCCCAACCCCCGGATCAACTTCCCCGACATGAACCTCAGCGTCCCCACCCAGGTCATCGACTGGCCGGCGCAGAACAAAGTCGCGTGCGTCAACTCGTTCGGGTTTGGAGGCACGAACTGCCACGCTGTGGTGCAGGCCTACGAGGATCACATGTCCAGACAGAACAGTATGGTGGAGGGTCAGAACATCCCCTGTGTCGTCTGCTTCTCCGCCAAGCACGAGAAATCTCTGAAAGGAAGTATCGAAGACTTCGTCAATCATCCAGAGGTGAGTACCTTTGACGTGCATGACGTGTCGTACACGTCGTCGGTCCGACGCGACCACTACAACGTCAGGTACGCGACGGTTGTTGAGGACATGTCTGAGCTGCTGGCACGCTTGAATGATTATTTAAGCAAAGGTGCGAAAGGGTCAAACGCTGTCAGACGCGCGCGTGTGGTGTACGTCTTTGGTGGGATGGGCACGACGTGGAAGGGGATGTGCAAGGAACTCATGAACATGAGCAATGAGTTCCGGAACGCCATCTTAGAGATTGACCAATATTTATCGAAATACGTCACGTGGTCGGTCGCCAGCCGTTTTGAAAAAGAAGCTGACATGGACGACCCGGAGTTTTCTCCCATCGCAATCTTCGCCTGCCAGATTGGTCTGGCCAAGCTGTGGTCAAGTCTTGGCGTGACGCCGGCCTGCGTGGTTGGTCAGTCAGTCGGTGAAGTGGCCGCTGCTTACTTTGCTGGAATACTGACCATGGAAGACGCGGTGAAGGTCATCTACTACCGCACGAGCCTGATGGCTTCGGTGATTGGAGGAAAAATGTTCGTCGTGAGAAACATGCCGGTCGATAAGGTCAAGGACGTGGTGGGCGGGTTTTCCGGCCTGGCCAACGTGTCGCTGGAGTACAGCCCCATATCCTGCGCCGTCAGCGGTAATTCGGACATCGTCATGCGCATCAAACAGGAGCTGCAGAACAAAGCGAGGAACCTGAACATCCAGATACAGCTGGTTGACCTGCAGGTGCCCGTCGCCTACCACAGTCACCATGTCGATGGATGCAAAGCCGGGCTGAGAGAGGCGCTCGCGGGTCTGGCACCCAAAGCTCCAGAGATAGACATGTTCTCAAGCGTGACCGGAGAACTTGCGACAGCTTCGTTGGGTCCTGACTACTGGGTCAGCAACATGCGGGAGCCTGTCCGGTTCTTCGACGCGGTGCAGAAGACTTTCACCAAGGGCTACAAGAACGTGTACATCGAGATCGGACCGAAACCAGTCATGCGTGCCCACGCCAATGACATCTTCCCCAAGGATGACGTCATGCCTGTCGTCTCCATGTCCAAACCGCCCGAATGGAAAATCTTCCTGCAGGCGCTGGTCAGCGTGTACGAGCTCGGCTGCAAGGTGGACTGGGACAACCTCCCACACGAGGGCAAGATCGTCACGCCCATCCCCAGGTACAGCTTCAACCCCAGACGTAACCTCCAGCTGTGCGAGTCCGCGCACATGATCCTTGCCGGCGTCCACTACATGAGGAAAGAGCACCCGTTCTTGAACAAAGTGGACACAACCAACGACTGGAAAGCCATGGTGACTCAGCTGACCTTCCCGTCAGTCTACGACCATATTGTCTCTGGAATGCTGATCATCCCCGGGGCGTTTTATGCCGAGACTGGATTCGCCGTGGCCATGCACACCAGCGAGATGAACGCCCCCATGTACACGGTGGGGGTCAGGTTTGAGCAGCCGTGTTCCTTCACCAGGGAGGGCGCCGTGGAGCTGGATCTCGTGCTGAACAAAGCGACACCTCGCGGCTACGGGGCTGAAAAGTACGACAGCTACAACATCGCAGTGGTGAAGGGCAACAAGACCTTCGCGAACATTCACCTGCAGGCCCACAACATGAGAGGTCAGCCATCGACCATTAACATACGTCACATTCAAGGCCGCTGTCCGCAGATTGTTGAGAGGGACGAGATCTACGGAACTCTCAAGAGCTTCGGCTTCACGTACGGCCCTGCGTACGCACTGCTGATGTACGCCCAGAGAAGTTCACAAGAATGTCTGGCAAAGATTTTCGTACCCAAACAACTGTTCATTGAAATAGCTGGCACCACCATTCACCCTTCAATTCTAGATGGGATGATCCAAACTTCCGTTATTTTGATGGATGGCGTTGATGACGCGCGGGATCTTCTGCCTCGATCTATCGGCAAGTTAACCTCCTACCGACCAACAGAAAACGAGATGTACATTTACACCACGCTGAAGAGCTCCGATAGAAAACTAACCCTGTATGACATCAAGCTCACGACTCTTTACGGGGAGGTAATCGCTGATCTGGAGGACCTGGCTATCAAGTCATTGACCGACAAATCTGGAGGCGTGGAAAACACGTACAAGTGCATATGGAAGCCCACCGAAACCAAATACCCAAATCACGAAACCAAGAAGCCAAACGTGCTGTTTATCACCGACTCCATCCCAGAGAACACGCCTTCCTCCATGCTGAAAAAATGCATTCAGTACGACGTCTTGGACGAGCCCGGAGAAACCGTGGCCAAAGATATGGACCTGATGTTGAAAAACAAAATGTCGGAGTATGAGTTCATTGTAATCATGAACAACACAACAATCTCAGAATCTGAAGACGCTTTCAGCATCCAGACTAAGACTCTAAATCTCTGCATGATGCTGAAAAACATTTATACATTTGCTGTTGAGAAAAACCTAACACTTCCTATTTATTTATTCACCAAAAGAGCATTTCCTTTTGAGAACGGCCCTCCGGAAGTTGAAAATATTAACCCTATAATGACTGCGCTATGGGGTATGACAAGATGCGCCTTGAAAGAACAAGTCTACACCGACCTGGTCACGATTGACCTCCACGTTTCTGAAGAAACGATAACATTGCCCTATCTGTCTTCGGTGGCTGAGATTATAAACAGCGACAGCATTCTGAAGAACTACCCGGAGTGGATGGTGACAGCCGACTGCATGTTCGTCAACCAGTTCGTCCAGGTCGACTCGGAGACCCCGGTCCCCACGTTCAGACACAACTTCGCGGACAAGTCCCAGAACGTCATCCTCTTGAGCAAGGAGCCGATGGTGTTGACAGACACCTTCCCGGTGTACCACGAAACACAGGTCAAAGATGAGACTCAGCCTCATGTCCAGATGGACGTCTCAGCCACGGCGTTTCAAAATCCGCTTCTCTTCAACATGAAGATGTTGTACAGCGTCATGGAAAAACGCCGAACTCTCAAAGGAAACGGGTACCCGCTGTTTGCCCTAGAGAACATAGGCCCAGTCCAAGGAGACGCCGTCTGTAAGAGACAGAGGAGGTACAACATACCCGCTATTTCATGTTACCCAGCCCCCATTGGGTCTAAAATCAAAGTACCGATTGACGCCACAATTCCAGCTGATTTGATTGCAGATTACGTCCCCGGGGATCTCACACGATTGGTTCTACTGTGGTCTCTACACGAGCTGGTCACTACCAGAAACGCCACCATTTTAGCCTCCTCCGCCACGGCGAAATACGGGGAAATTCTTATGTGTTTGCTGTTAAGTCGGAGAAAGCCAAAACCGTTAAACGTGAACCTAGTCGTGGTCGAGGAGTTGAACAACATCGAGACGTTGAACGAGACGATCGTATCGCTGGTCCTGATGGATGAGAATATCGTCCCCATCATGGCTAGACGCTGGCTGCAGCCAAAGTACTACATCAGCGTCTCCTCCCTGCTGGAGCCGGTAGCCAGAGCTCCCATTTCCTTCTTCCTCCCCACTGTCGAGATCAAGCTGCTAGACACGGCCACAGTCTTCCACCCCCACAACGTCACCACGCTCGTCCCCAGGGTCAAGAAGTGGATGGTCAAGCACTCGTCCCTCATGCCAAGAGTCGCAGAGTGCCTACACAAAAACCCCATCACAACAGGGATTTACAAGGATGCTGTAGCTGACATCGACGAGTTGCTGGAGGTGCAGATCACCAAGATGAATAGCTCGGTGGTGAGGGTGGAGAAGACGGAACTCTTCAGAAAAGACGCGGTGTACATCGTCGTGGGTGGATTGACGGGTCTGGGGTGGCTTTTTGTCAAGTTCCTTGCGCAAAACGGTGCTGGAAACATAGCCATTCTCAACAGAAGACAGGCAACAATAGAAAAAACCAATGAGATAGCCCAGCTCGCTGCTTCAGAAAACTGTAACATTAAAGCTTTACAGGCGGACGTTACTCATATGGATTCGTTGAAAAATTTCATGTCGCAGATGGAACAAGCGTTTCCGAACATCGTGTTGAAGGGCGTTTTCTTCGGCGCTGCTGTTGTGGATGATCAGCTGCTAGTGCAGATTGATCCAAAAGTTTTTGCCAAAGTCATGTCCCCTAAAGTGATGGGTGCGTGGAACTTGCATCAGTTAACCAAAGATCTCCCGCTAGACTACTTCGTGCTGCACTCCTCCGTCACTTCCGTCATCGGAAATGCGGGTCAGACGAGCTACGGTGCAGGAAACGCCTTCATGGACGGCATGGCACACTACCGCAAACACCTCAAGCTGTCGGGACAAAGCATCAACTGGGGAGCTCTCGACCTCGGTATGTTGAGCGATTACAGCGAGGCCAAAAAGATATTGGAAGCTCAGGGTTTTGTACTGCTAACTGAAGAAGACATTTCTGCTGTTATTATCCCTATACTGCTTCTAGATTGGGGACAGATCTTGCCGTGCAAATTCGATGATGAAATTCTGCTGAAACGATTGAAGAGGGATATGCTGGTTCCATTCCAGTACCGTCTTAAATCTATGCTGGGTTCCGCAGCGGAAGAGGTCAAAATCGAAGAAGATATTCTTCTCGCTCTGCAGACAGCGAGAGAACTTCCGCCAGATCAAAGGGTAGACGTGTACGAGAGATACGTCATTGCTCTAGCCAGCCAGGTCCTCAGCGCTGAAGACGGCGCCATTAAATCAGACACGAATCTCGTGGACATGGGAATGGACTCTATCGTTGCCATGACGATGATCAACCAAATTTACAAAGAGGTTCACTGTAGATTGCCGGCTATCGTTTTCATCAGCGGGGATCCATCAGTTCGAATCATCGCTCAAGCTATTGATGACGTGTTGTCCGGGAGGTTGGCGGAAGGTTCCGAGTTTGGACCGGATGCGGAACAGCTAGCAATAGAAGCAGGCGATGCTCAGGATAATAAAGAGGAGAAGAAGGAAGTGAAAGCGATTGAACCTCCGCCTCCAAAGAGACGAATAAGCTTTGCTGCATCAACAATTGAGTCCAGCCAATTGGCTATTTACAAGAGACACCCCAGAAAGCAAAGTCTTCACGGTGTTGTCGACGTGGAGATTCCAGACGACAAGAAAGATCCGTCGATAGTGAGACAGGCAATCTTGAAGACACTCGAGCTGCACCCGACGGCTTGTACGGCTTTCAAGGAAGACATGTCGAAACGAACCAGCGTCATGAACTTTGAGAAGCAAGTTCTCCCCGCAGAGAAAGCGATGGACTTCAGGGTGGTGAGCAAGAGTGGAGAAGAGATGCAAGAGTTCTCGGAAGAAGCTTTCGATGTGAAAGAGAAAGGCCCGCTCAGGTTTGTTCTCCAGCAAGGATCCAAGACCAACTTGCGAATCATTTTCCACAAAGCTGGATTCGACGTCAGGGCCATTTACCAGGTTATTCAGGACCTGGTCTCCGCGTTTGATCCCAAGTTTAAGAAACCCGTTCTAGAAAAAGAATACATTGACAAAACACTGCAACAGTCGGAAGATTTTAACATGGAACTTGACAAAATTTACAAATCAAAATCGGAATCTTTCGCGCACTTTTGGGCGAAGACATTGAGCCAGGACGTGGCGAATACGTCACTTCGCGGACAACAAACACAGTTCCCTCCACGTCCGCTGTTGGCAACCAACGGCTCGCTGAGGACCGTCTTGTCTCCAGAGTTGACGCAGAAGATGGTCAATTTCATCCGATTCCATCACGTGTCTCTGCTAGGTCTGGTAGCTGGAGCCTACCAGACCCTCGTCCACATCCTGACCGGCAAGTCGACCATCAGCCTCATGTTCCCCGTTGACCTACGCCGCTACATCACCGACCTGAACAACGACGTCGCCAACTACTGCAACGAGATCCCCCTCCTCGCGCAGTTCGACGACACCAACAAAGTCACGATCCAGGAGTTCATCATCAGCAACAACAAACGCATCCAGCAGCACATCGACCACGGCATGCTACCCTTCACACTCTTCCAGGGCTTGGCCGAAAGAACGATGGAGATGTTTGACCAAAGTCCACACGGAATCAGCATCGAGATGCTCGCAGACGACATCGCGTCACAAATCAGCAACAGGCCTGGAAACAACGGGGTCAAATCTGCCCCGGCCATTTTGCCGATGGGTTTGGAAACCAATCTCCTGATTCAACACAATTTATTAAAGGGCGTCGTCGTCCTAAACCTCGGGTACAAAGAATGTGTGATGAATGGAATGAGAGCGGAAGTTTTGATGAAAAATCTGGTCAGTCTATTGACCGGCGTCATGACAAACCCTGGCCTGCAACTGAGACAAATCAAAAAGTACACAAAAGGCGTGAACGCCAGGCTGGAGAAAAAACCGTTCTGTGCTGTGCAGTAGGCCACAGTACCACATGCAAAACACAGACAGAAGCTGCCACAGCTCACAATAACTATCACTGCCTCATGTCACAATAGGAGGAAGAATTAATCAAATATCTTCCGGAAGTAAAAAGCTCGTACACTTAGTACGTCTGATTGCTGACAACAGTTTCTTCCCCTTACTCTTCACAAAATATTTTTTGCCCTTAACAATTACCAATCGTGTTCTGTTTCTATCACAAATGATAGCAATTTTGTGAGAGAAATTAATAATTTTTTTTATCAATCTATTTTTACCATATAATCTAACGTAACACACTTTATTTTGGAAAAATTATTTCAACGTAATAATATTGTAACATTAGTAAAGGGACATAACTAATTAGGTTAACAATATTATTTTCATGTTTATCTGTCAGAGATTATTTGTAAAAAACGAATGTTTAATGTACTATTAAATGCTATTTATTTATTAAATATAATATGTATGTATCCTGTTTATTAGTAATTCTTTATGTATGACAATGTTTTTGTACCAGGGATTTTGCGTTTTTACACATTTATTTTCTATTAAAAATGCAAGTTAATAATATTTATATAATTTTGGCTGTTATTTAATATATATAAGTATAACATGCAAGCCTAAGTTTTTATATTTCATTCGTATATTTTTTATTTTTTGCACTGCAGTATTTTTTTATTTTTTTTTAGTTATATGTTACCACAAAAACTATGTTATTAAAGTTTTTAACAAGCGGTTGTACAAAACATATAACCATTATCTGTTCTGATGAGCAGGAATTCATACTGCTGTTATCTGTATTCAATCATTATAAACTTTGTAAACCTGACCTTTCTGTCTAGCAAACAGACATGGTCAGTTATCTATCATTATTTAAAGGCCAATAAATAATCAACTATTTCTTATCATGGTGTTATGTATGTGTATTGTGAGAGAAGTGTGTTGTTAAGTCAAAGTTAAAATCTTAATGCTTTAAGAAAAACATAAGCAGTCAGGGTAAAAACATTTAAACTTCTGAGTTTAAAATATAGTCACAACCTTCCTTTATTTCTTTTAGCTGATTCTTATGTAAATGTGGCAAAAATTTCAGCTCAGAAGGCCAGATAAATATTTCTAGAGAATTTGTTTAAATTTCTTTTATAGGTTTTGCTCACAGAAACAAACAATAGAATAGGGATAAGAATCCTCCAATTGAACTGAATATTCACACAAAATGCAGTTATCTTTTTTTTTAATAAAATATTTGTATCAAAATGTATCATATACATTTGTCTTATTTCCATTTTTCATTATAATTTACCATGAAAAAATCATGTACAGCAAAATGTTGAAACTCTGGCTGACATTGAGATTGCACAAACCTTGTATGTGATAACAAACTAATGTCAAATTAACCCCTTACACACCAAACACAGAATACACAGTGACATTCAGTTTAAAGAAAAACAACAATCAATCATGAGATTATAAATAGAGTTTAATAATCTTAATAAAAAAAATATTCAAGAGTATTTCAGTGATATCATGAACAGTGTTGAGGAAAGCAACTAGCACCCATGTCACCTTAATAAATAGTATCTAGCAAAATAAAGGTTTAAAAATAGAAGGATAAAGATATAATTTTATTTTTACCAACATAAAATATATCTGTATATATGTAATAAGGAATTATCTAAACATCCCTTGCACAAAACTAAATACAAACAATTGTAGAGAAAGACAATTAAATGTTATATTTATCAACAAGATAAATGTATATATGAGAAAAGATATATAATGAGATCTTTAAAATGATACATAGTAACTACCAGACATTTTCTAAAAAATGTTACAAAAACAGACACATTATCAGCTAAACCTTTGACAGCATTGTAAAGTCCCATTTATACCCAGTGTAAAATCTGTTACATGGTGAAGTACCAGTTTAACAGGTAAAACAACCTGGATGATCAAACGACTCAATGAATAAGAATTTAACAAAGTTTTGAGTAAAATGTCACTATAAATGTATCGATAAAACTATCCACAAACATAAAGGAAGAATGTTTAAGGTAAATGTTCTGTTACTCATAATTTTCTAATGTAAAATATGTTATACCTTATCTTAAGATAGTGTTACATAATGTATTACATGATATATCAAATAGGTCATGTTATGTGCGTTGTTTGACTCAGCAGATTTTTTTCTACACTGAGGAACTTAAACAAACTTATGAAATGCAAGCTTATTTAAATAATGATAAAACAACTAAATTCTATAAATATTGCAAACCTAAGCAATAATAATGCCCGAACAAAGACAACCATTTTAAAGTTTGCCAATAAAATAATTCGATCAACAACAAAGCAAATTCTACAGTCCACCTAACGAAAGATAGATCAATAGTAGATAAATAATACTATTTAATAACTTTTATTTTGAAATAATTATCAAATTTGTATTAAAAGTCAACTTTAAAAAAACTCTACTATAATAATATCAGTTAAATTCAACTTGTACAAGTTTATCACAAATAATAATTGTTCTTGAGAAAAAATGTACTAAAATACCACATTAATAAAAAAAAAGTTGCATTGCAATAAAAAGTAAACATCATCTTCTAAAAATTCCCAAACAAGAATTGAAAATAACATTACCTAAAAAAATATATTTCACAGTTTAATACAATTTTTGAGCGTGTATTCAAATTCAACAGAGTGCCTTAAGTACACATTAAAAACATTTCACTAATATGGTTAATTTAACATAAATATTCCCCATATCCCAACATTTCTTAAATATAAAATAAACATATCACCAAATACCCCAAAGAGATCAGAAATAGGGCTAATAAAAAAAATCACTAGCAGAAATTTTCAACAAAAAAGAAAGGCTAAGGGAAATCACTCTTCCAGTTTATCATCTTCATGCCCAGCCAGGCAAACCAAAGCCTACCATTTCTTAGTTTTCACATAGTTTTCCATGCGAGCAGCAGCGATGTATGCCGTGCCCAACTTCCTCTGCCTGCCAAAGCTGTGGACAGTCAGCTCAACCTCGTACTCCCCCAGCTTCACATCCGTCTTGCCGTCTCGATCAAGGAGGAGACACACAGTGTAGGCTGCCACTTCAAACTCTGGACTGGACCCTATGAAGACACTGCACATGGGCTTTGCTTTGATTCCCTTCCAAGTAAATTGAACAGCTAACAGTCGAATGATCTCATCATCTCTGACCTTTAAAAAAAAATTTTTAAGTCAACTTTAAAACAGATTCATCTTAAACTAATGTTTCTATAACCATCAGTTTATATATTTTGAAGACATAAACAGATTCATCTAAACTAATTTTTCAATAGTGTTCAGTTTTTGTGCTTTGAAGACATAAACAGATTCATCTTAACTAATTTTTCTATAGAGTACATTAGGCTTAAACGTGAGTACATAAAACAATCATTCAGCTTCCTGAGGTTACAACTTACAGTCTCTCTTCTAAAATAGCCATGATAGTTTATATTCCCTGCCTTCTCCTGCAAGTAAAACTGTATCCAGTTATGAAGTCCTATCATTTCAGTGCCACGTCCTTCACCTACAAAAACATGCTCAAAGCTGCAAGAGTCTTCTCCCCTGATGATATATTATAAGACAGATATGTTTTTCGATGGTATATTTGCTGCATAATCAGGTCAACAGTCAATTAAATTTTTTTTTAAATAGATTGGAACATCAAAAAAATTAATATTTATACAGTCTATATTTTAAATTGTTTTACCAGCGGAAAATAAAGATAGAAGATGAAATAAATGCCCACCTTGTAGCCTGTCGTCTAAACATTTTAAACCAAATGTCATGCAGCATTTCTTTAAATTTCTCCACATTCTCTGGGGCAGCTCTTTTAGACACCAGGTATTTGTGTGTCTCTTTCATCACCTTGGTTTCCATGATAGCAGTAAGGAACTCGTAGTTTTCTCGCCTCTCCTCCATCGTCACCACCTCGGCCTTGCCAAGTTCCATTTCATAGTTGTCCAATAAAGCACGGAACGCTAATTCACATTAGACAAAAAAAAATGCATATATTAACATGAATGAATGTAAGATGAATGTTAATTAAAAGTTTCCTTGCTTCATTTAATCAATGAAAATGCAGTTGTTAAAGAAATAGCTATACCTATGTTCATTTATATTTTATTTACGGTTATGATAATTTTATTTACCTTGTGGTATTTTTTTATATAAAATTGGTATAAAATAGTACTTGATCAACAAAATCACCTTTGTATGTTCGTCTGCTAAACACCTTCTCTTCATCAACCCAAGCAAAGAGATTATTTCTAGCCCGATCTTCTTTTACTTCTCTGGTGCTATTTACAAAACCTGAATTAAAAGAATCATTCAACATTGTCATTTATTTTTATATCAAACAAAATGATAAATTTTTTAGCAGTTGGCCCAAGGAATAATTCCATTACATAGATGCATTGTGTTGTTTGTAGTAGGAAAGGAATGTCAGTTTTAGTAATTGAAAACCAATAATACCCCTCTTTTCTCCCCCCCCACCATTTTTTTTTCAAGAGTTTAACAGGAATATGTAAAAATGACCCATTTTTCTTTTATACATTCCTTTATTACTAACTAGATTATGATAATACATTTCATTTTTATAATGACAGTATCAGATTCAATGTTTAATTCATATTACTTAATTACTAAAAGAAACAAGAAAAAAAGTATGGAAATGAAAGATGATGGTACTAAAGTTATAATTTCAAAGAGAATGAAACATAGATCTATACCCTGCAAGTCTATTTCATAATCTTTGCCAGGAAAACATTTGTTATCATCCATCTCCCATAATTTACTAATAATAGTTGAAAGTTCAGAATCTTCACAAAAGCTGAAAAACATAATCGATTATTTGGAGATTACGCTAAAAGTAATAAGAAAGTTATATTTTAATCTTTTTAACTCAGTTCAGAATATTTTTAGTATTATAAATATGTAGAATCTAATGCAGCTGATAAAATTTATTAATATACATTAGCCCTATATACTAGAACTACATATCAACATACCCTGCAGCCATTTTTTATTTTGTTTGGTTATCTGAGGAAAAAAATATGATAAGAATTTTAGTGAGCTTTCCTTATTCAAAGTTTTTTGCCAGTATTTTATTTAGATTTATATACACTAATTCATGTCTACACAGATGAACTATCTATTTGATCTGCTCCATCAAACTCCATGTGTCTTGGGCACCATAACAGGAAAAGTATGAAAAGATTATTGATAATATTATTTACACTATGTGACTAGTTACAGTAATGGTTACTACTAGTTACTAGTCTAGTAAATAAAGTGAATAGATCTACACTCTAGAAAATCTAGAATATAGACCTGTCCAGTTTTGCTAGCTGCTAGACTCTAGCTAATAACTTAAGTCTAACTAAAGTTAAAGTAAAGTAGGCCTACTCTCACTGTGCTGTACGGCTGTAGTAGTGTAGAGGGGTCGTCCATAAATGACGTCACACTCGAAGGGGGAGGGGGGTCCGTAATTTTCTGACAGTGTGTGATGATGGGGAGGGGGGTCAGATGGGGAGGGGGGGTCAGATGGTGTGACGTCACTTTTTTTTGCATTATAAAAAAAGCAATGCTAGAAAACGAGTTCTAGCCGTAATTTCGTGTTTTAGAAAACCGTTTTAATAAATTGCAATAGGAATTGATCAAAATACTCTATGTTACTCTATGATGTTGACATAGTTCAGACAAGATTTTGGAAAAATATCGATGTTTTAAGAAAAATTCAACAGCAATTTTGAGGGGGGGTTGTAGGCGGAGGTGTGACATCATTTTAGGGGGGGTCTGGCGTTTTGTGATGACGTGTGATGACGTGTGATGGAGCAGAGGGGGGGGGGATGTAAAAACCATCCAAAAAAAGCGTGACATCATTTATGGATGACCCCAGACTAGTGATGTGATAGTTTAGTTAAAGTTTAAGTTAGTAGTGTATGCCTACATCTAGATTAATCTAGAATCTAGATAGAGTATCTAGATCTAGTATTTTTAGTATCTAGTTAGCTTCTAGATCTAGAATCTAGTACTAGATCTTAAGATCTATGTTAGTACTTAGTAGTCTAGTACTAGTCTAGATCTAGTAGTCAAGTTCTAGTAGAATTAGTTAGAAGAATCTTGAATCTAGATCTAGATCTAGATCTAGATCTAGTTCTAGAGTAGAGAATCTTTTGGACTAAACAAAGTCTTAAGTAAAGACAGAGGGAGAGTCTAGTAGGCCTAATAATTTTAATTTTATTAATCGCACTCACATGTCTCTAAAAATAAACTAGACTAGATCTAAAACTAAAGCAATCTTAAAAAGTAAAAAGTACAGAAAAGCCGTCTATTCTAACTAAGCTCTCTTGCAAATCTACCCAGGGAGATCTTTACAAATGAAAAACACAATTACAGCACTGAGTTACAATAAAAATTAGGATCTAGTGCGTCTATAAATCGAAACCGAAAGAACCAGAAAAAGTGCCCAGTCTAATCTTGATGTCTTGTCTACTCAATATAATTCAATATAGATCTAGATCTATATAGATCTATCTAGATCTAGATTTCGGTAAAACTCCATTTTAGCGTATTTTATTCCCCGCTTCACGTTCACTTCCAGTTGAGCGTATTTTATTAATAAATTAGGCCTAATAATATATATATTAAATAATATTGCCTAATAATACTAATAGGGCCTATTCCTAATAAATTTATTAATATTATCAACACAATCTTCTTCTTCTTCTTCGTTCTTAATTTTTAGTGTTGGGAGGGAGCGAGCCTTGTCTCACCAGAGGGTTTGAACTCGAGACTTTTTTTTCGAATTTATCAACCATGAGCTTTGTCGACTCGACCATGCTTCCATCACAATTAAGGATCACGTGTCAACTGATTATGCGCCATTGAGGCCATTGACTCCGATTTCAGCCTGCTTATCATTTTGGATTTGCTTCCATAAGCTACCATAATGATAATCCATAGCCTTTGTCCAACCAAGAACAACCTACAAGGCAGCAGTTGTTTGATTTTGGAGTTGTCGCTCCTAGAAGAGTGGCTGTCCCCAGCTAACGAGCCTCATCTGCCCGAGGTTTCGAACTCGAGACTTTTCGGTTTAGCAACCATGAGCTTAACCGACTCGACCACGCCGACCCCGAACACAATCAAAACACACAAAACACTCTACTCTCTAGACCCTAGTCAAGTCTAGTGACACTCTGTCAGTCTGTGACTAGTGTCTAGTGTGAAGGAAGTGTAGTAATTGTAGTTTAATACTATACTGAGACTCTAGATAGTCTTAGTAGGCGCCTACTTTATGAACTTTTGGTTTGATTTTTGATAATTTACTTTTGTCAAAACTTGAGAAAAAATGAAAAATCCTAATTTGGAATATTGAATGTGCACTAGATTTAGCTTTTTTTCTCTTGAAAATAGGTTCCTGTCATTTAAGGAGAAACTCATCATAAATGCAAGTCGGTTAAGTTCGTATTGTTAAAAATATCTTGCACTCATGATACTATAAAAATAATATAAACTTCTAAGAACTCACAATGGCCCTAAGCTCTAAACTCTAAGCTAATGACATATGCTGATAATTAAAGTCAATGTGAACTCACGGTGAACCCTTCACCATGATTTAGAATAATTTAGATCAAGGGATTTTTCTCCCGCCGATGATCACACGCTATATAATTGAAACTGTAATGCCTATTTATAATCTTTTTTTACCTTTTCTAATTAAAACAAACATTCATAAAAAATGAGACCCATATCTATCACCTACTAATCCTAGTCCTAGTGTTTTCCTAACGTTCTTGTGTGTTTTGGTGGTGTATATATAGTAAAATAGCTCAACCGAAGGTGAATGTGAAGCTGCGAATAAAATACGCTAAAATAGAGTTTTACCCTAGATTTCTGTATCTAGAATTCTACTGATATACTCATTAATACTGTCTCATCATGATCAATACTGTCCCTCATCTAGCTTGAGCTAGACTAAGAGAGCCTCTTAGTTTAACTTGAACTTAGGTCTTAGTAAGAGACTCTGATTCTGAGTCAAGATTGGAGTGTGTACAATTCATAATTCAGGAATCGTGTACATTGTTGAACATTGTTATTTGATTTACTCAGCAATGGTAAAAAAAATAATTTTTGGTTGATTCCCATGTTCCTGTATTGTATGTTGTATAGGTTGCTTCTGTCCTTTGGTTTTCACCGGGTTTATCTAAGTCTAAGTCTATTACACTGTATAATATAATGTTAATATTCTAAAAATGTAATGTCTAATATCTTCTTCCACCCTGCTGAACGCAAGGGGTAAACTTGTACCCCACTGTCCAGTAAGAGGACGGCGTGGCCTAGCGGTAGAGAGCTAGACTGCTAACCCGACAGTCTCGAGTTCGAATCTGGGTTAAAATCAGTTAAACATTCCTGAGTTAACCCAGTTTTGATTGGTACCTAACTTACATTAGAGAAACAAAGGCGGCTGGGCATAGTACTGACCACACTATCCCTTCATATGCAAAGGTCAATGAATCAGATGAACTATACTTCATCTGCCCCATATGTCTTGAGCATGACCAAGATTAAGAAGAGATGAAGAAGAAGACTGTCCAGTACCTGGCTCAACCATAGAGTTATAGAGGTAGTTCGGACTTATAAAGTTTGAACCAGACCCTCCTTCACCTGTTACAATGTTACATCATACCACCTGGTTCGTGAGGGTGTCCGTTAACTGTGATGTAAAGTTTGGACTCACGCACAGTCCTCGCTTTACATCCCAACACCAAAATCTGGGTCCTAGGAGGATGTTAATTTTTAATAGTATATGGGCCAAGAGGCCTACTCTATAGTTTAGTAAGGATATAGCCATAGATAGTAATAATAGATAGGCCTATGCAGAGACTAGATTTATTTCATGCCAAGCCTATAGCCTACCAATTTTGTTTAGCCCACTAAATAAAAATAAGCCTATGCCTATTTATTTACATTATATATTATAGAATCTACTACTAGTAATTAGATAAAAATATTTTAGTTTGAAAGGGTGACCTATTGACTCATTCAGTATTAAATCCTTTTAACATTAAGTGTTTTAAGCAAGAGGTGTCAGAAACATGAGATTCATTGAGATGTGTAGCATTTAGTCCAGAGCTCAGTTAGTCTACCATTCTACCATCAGCCACATTGCATACTTAAGTTCTGGGTATTGTTAGTTTTTCCTTATATAAACCTTACTCCGGGGTGAGAGTGTTGGCAATTTTCTCCATGGGATATATGGTTAGATGGATTAATATCCAGGAGGCAACTATCCAAAAGGCTATTGTCTGATAACTCTAGTTAGCCAATTTTTACCCCCTCAAATTACACATCACTAAATGCCATACCATTCCCCTCTCCCACACACCCCCCTGACATTTCAAAATTTCATCTCTTTACAAATAGTCTTATTATTCTTTAGAAAACTGGCCTGCAGATTTGTGCACAGTTGGAAAATCTAAAACACATCAAACCGATCGGTGAAGATTTTCGCTGGTACCTAAAGGTAAATTTTACGTTCTTTACCAAGTGAGAGCATGTCTTAGTTTATTTTTATTTAATATTAATCACTGGAACACATTTGTTTTTTTAACTTAAAACTTTTTTCTTTGGTTCAATTTCATTAATCATTCTTGTATTTAAAAAAAGTAAAGCTCCCCTTTCAGAACCAAAGATCCATTGGGCAGATGAAGTAGAGTTTATAAGTTTCTTGACCTTGGTTTATGAAGGGATGTTGTGGACAGCAGAATGCCCAGCTGCTTTTATTTTCCCCAATGTGAGTCAGGTACCCATCAGAGTTGGGTGGACATTCAATATCCAAACTTGACTTGAGACCTTTGGGGTAGTAGCTGAACACTCAACCATTTAACCCCACTTTCTCATAATCATTCTAGTATACTTATTTAAATTATAAGTTAGATAAGAATTTCTACACTGCTTCTAACATTTGCTGTCAACAATTTCGTTCACAGCTAAGATGTTCTAACTGTGGAGAAGAAACGCAAGAATTTGTTTACTGTTGTCTTTCAGTAGGTTTTTAAATTATTGTTTTTTAAATTACTAAGAAAAATTTTATATTATTAACTAAAAATTTTTTAATTGTCCCAAGGTGTGTGCCAAGTGAAATTTTTTAAGGAATCCAATTTGGCATTGCTTATAATTTTTTAATATCCTTTTTCTTGTTTTTAAAGGAGAGTTATCCTTCAGCTCATGGTAAAAGTAATGCAAGTCTCAACATAAAATGTAAACTATGCAAAAGGGAAAATTCAATAGGTAAAACCTTTTTTTTAATTAATACTATTAACAAAAAGCATACCAGTCTACTATCAAATATACATCTAACTTCTTCTTAGTTCGTAAATGTAATGTTCAAAGGGATTTCCTCCAAGACAATTATATATTACGTGTCTACCCGTTATGCACCACATAGGCCATTGAATACGATTTCAGTCTGCTTTTCTTACTGGATTTGCTTCTTTATCCAACAAAGAATACTACATATTATAACAAAATTTATGTGCTTAGAAGTTTTAAAAATAAAAGATTGACTTTAGTTGTTTGTTTTTTTCTTATTATCACTATCAATATGCTAACTTGTGTACTGTTATATGCTGTTTTCTCCAGACATAATTAAAGAATCAATAAACTCTTATACTCAAGATGATGCTGGCCAATTTAAAACAATTGTAGTTTTTGACTGCAGGGGGGCAACTCCTGTAGATTTTTCACCTAGGGTAAATCTTTGTTTAATAAATTAGCCCAATAGAATTACAAATTGTGAACAATGTTTAATGTTCACATTTTGTTTAAGTAGTCTAATAAAAATATAATTTAGTTCTAATTTTCTGTTTTACTGATTTTAAAGTAACTTATTCATGTTTATCAACACTTTATACATTTTTAAGTAAATGATCACTCTAAAGGCTACATAATATATGTTATGTTTGATGCGCTCCCATTGAATATGAGTTCTTCTCAGTAAGAAACCTCCTTCTATTAGAGTAAAAAAAAAAAATTAAACAAAAAAAAAATATTAGAGTTTGAATGATGGATAATCAAATTTTTACTGATGCAGGTGGGCTGGGAAGCTGAAGGACTGGAGTCTAATGCTGTTTTCTCAGATGTTGATTTAAAAGAGTGTGTAAGTCAAGATTTCAGTTTTTACACTATTTTTACTTTTCAGATTATGTTATGCTAGTGGGTTATAAATAAACTAAGCTTTTTAAAATTATTTCACCACCTCCCCATACACAACCCCAAGAAACCAGACCCCATCCTCTAAAATGATGCCAAACCTCAGTTCAGATTTTTAAACCAATTTCCCTTAAAAATCTTAAATAATTTACTGCATGTTTATCAATTTTCATTACAATTAATTTTTAAAGACATGGACCAGCAGCTAAAAATTCTTTTTCTTTTTTATTTTATTCAAAAAGTTTGAATGTGACTATTCATGGATGACACTCTTACTTTGTTTTTTGAAGTTATAAATTACAATAGTTTAGTTGCCTCCCCTGGTATGTATATTGAAGAGATCACCAGGTACTGATAATACCATTGATGTAATAACAGACATATTTTTTTACAAAAGTGTCTAGTAGAAAAAAAAAATCAGCTAATGTATAGTGCATTTTTAAAAATCTGTTTTTCAGGAATGGTATGATTACGATGACAAAGCTGGTGAATCTGTGAGCATCACAGAGCTTAAGTACCAATTTATTACAGTTAAAACTTGATTTTAATTAAAAGAATATTTCAATAAAATATTGTTTGATTTTTTTTTACTAATATGAAATACTAATTGGTAAATACAATTAATTTAATGATCGAAACTGTTAAAAACATGAAAGCATTTTAAATAATATCAATCGCATATATGCACACATTTTATTTTTGTTTTGATAGCTTAATTTGGGTCATTTATTTTTTAATATAATTTGAAGTATCTGAGTATAAAACAATGAGGAATAGTAATAAGGGAACAAATATCTGTGTTTGCATTTATATTTTAATTTTAACATGATCACACAATGATACATCACATATTCAACTAAGTCAAGATAATCAAAGGCTTTTGTTTCAGGATGAACATAGATTTTAAACAACTATATTTACAAATCACTAGTTAAACAATGTTAAAGTAAAATTAGATTTTTTGCATTATTTTCATGCAATGTAAAAGTGTTTTTTTTTTACATATAAGCCAAGCAATGATTTTCAATGTTATAAATCTCATCAATTAATCTTGCTACATTCCTATTAATAAAAATGTTAAAGAAAAGTTTTTATTTTATAAGGTGAATAGCAAAATTTTAGTGCATAAAGGCACATAATAAAAGTATTGATGCTGAGTTAGAATAAATCAACACCAAAACAGATTCCATGTACAAATTTAAACTCTACAAGCTAAAGATTCTACCCAAAAGGATGACAAGAGGGTTTTCTTGACAAACTTATCGTCATTGTACTAAATATATGTTACATTTTTCAGAAAACTACCTCCAACTCTCATTTACACTGTAAATTGTAATTAACAATTATTACATCAAAAAAGTTATGACTTTTTTAACACTACCACATGTGGTTGTAAAGGAACTTTTCTTAAGTCTTGTCCTGTCTTAGTGGCCAGCATCTGGTCATTGATAAATTGGGATAAAATTGGTATACTTGCTCTTGGATCATTTGCTGGTAGTTTGGGACATTTCATTTGATTTCTCCATGTCTCAGCCTGAAGGTATTAAAACATTGTAGTTTAATTAAGTAAAACTAAGAAGAAGAAGTTGGATATATAAAACTTAAGTTAAATTAATACACAAATTCTTCAGAGAGGAACTTATACGTGGAATTTACTACTATGAGAATTCTTTCCAGAATGCAGGAAATAAAATATTCTGTTTAATTAAATAAAACAACATTATTCTAATTCATGATTAAATAGCCTAAATTATGTAAAATACTTACAAACTAAAATTAATAAAATCATTTCAATAAAAATGTACTAATGGAACCTAGAGTAGGATTTGATTATTTGAAACCATTTCTACAGTTACACAATACCTTAGGCAGTAGAAAATCTATGTGCTCTGCTCTTTTTAAACTATCTGGGTGTGTCTGCATCCACTCAGGGGTGGATCCTTCTTGAGTTAGCTTTTCATTGAAGGACATTTTTTTCCACAACACTGTCCCATCACGCACATCATAACATGCCTAGAAAAATATGTCAGTTCAGTGGGATATTGAGACAAAAATAAACTGGACCCAGTGAAACTACAACCCAAAGTTGGCTTTAGATGATGCAAGCAGTTTTAAGTTGTTAGCTTAAGACATGAGTTGATCATAGATGTGTAGTAAAGCAAGAATGAAGAATAGTTACTTGGCATTAAATATTATCCAAAAGATTGAAGCAAACATGAATTTTAAAAAAAAACCAGCCGGCCCGCGGCATAACATACGCCGCTATTTAGTTGTTTCTAATTTTCAATAATTCATAATTTGTGAATTCGACAGTACCAACGCTGACACTGAAAATATTTCTTTAAAACACTATAAGTAGCTCGTTAAGGACCATAACCCCCCCCCTTCCTTCCCCCCCCCCCCTACGTTTAAAATCGTTGGCTCTGCTTGTAAACATTTAGAGCGAACACAGCTCACTAAAACCATGTAGGGGTGGGGAGGTAGGGAGAGCGTTTGCAGCTTGTTTTCTAACGGCTCGAAGAAGAGAATTATATATATAGATAAAGCAAGGATTACTTACCTTGGCAGCAAACATCAAGCCAACACGATCAGCCTCTGATTCAATTTTCCTGCTGTGAGGCATGTGCATCATTAACTAGATAGAAAAAAAGGCAATTAGTTAACTTATTATAATTAGGTCTGCATCATATCATTAACTAGATAGAAAAAAAAGGCAATTAGTTAACTTATTATAATTGAATCTGCATCACATCATTAACTAGATTGAAAAAAGGCAATTAGTTATTGTAATTGGGTCTGATTGAATTATATGTGTCTACTTAAAGTAAAACTGTTCTGGTAGGTTAAAATATATTAATAGTTATTAATTAAAATACAACTTTCAGACAACCTTGTACACTGGGCAGATACAATAGAAATAATCTGTTTCTCCGACCTTGGTTTATGAAGGAAAAGTGTGGTCAGCACTGTTTTTCCAGAATCAAGTCAGGTAATTAAACAGAGCTGGATGGACTTAAGATTGTACAGACTGGTCTGTGGACTCATAATTTCAGGTTATGATCCAGTGCTCTACAGCTAGACCACTCTGCCCACAGTTAAAAATACTTTGACTAAAACAATTTAACATAATGCTAACCACACTATGCCAAGGTTAAAGAAACAGATAACTCTGTTTGCTCTAAGGAACATCAGGCCTATAGGGTAGGCATGTTAAACTTCAGTTAAAAACCAAATCTAGTTCAAGGTATTGAAGTAAACAACAAAAATGTCAACATGCTACAGCTAGAGTCTAAGTACCTGAATCACTCTGTTGTACAACCAGTGAGTTAATACAGCAAAGGAGTCCAAAGGAATAAAAAACCAAATCACAGCTAAGCAAAAAATAATAAGAATATCCACAGCGCCACTGTAGCTAAGCTCTTCAATCTGAAAGTGGTAAAAAATAAAGAGTGTGAATGAAATCATACTGTGTGGAATAGCATGCCTTTTAAAATAAGATTTATACACTAGAACCTGATTGAATTTAAACAAACTTAAAAACTTAAGTAACCCAGATGTCACACTTTGAAAAAAAAATGTAAAAAGTGTAAGAAAAATAATTGTTACCTACCCCATGACCTAGGACAGCATGGGCCATTTCATGCCCAAGTATCACAGCTAGTTGGTCCTGTGTGTTGGCCAGTTGCAAGATACCATCAAACACAAACATATGGCCACTCTGGTGAGCACAAGTTTAGAAAACATTGAAGATTCACAAATAATGCAAAACAACATTTTTACAAAAGACATTATTTTGAGATAAATTACTTTGTAAATAAAATAGAAGATTCAATAGTTTTCTAAAGAGATACTAACTATGGAGTATCAAAATTTTAAGCCAAATATGGATACATTTTCAAACTGTTGAATTCTGAGCTATTTCAGTAAATGGAGATTAGAAAAATTAACTTTATTTTGTTTTAGTCTCTCCTACATTATGCAGTGACAGAGGGTTTAAAAAAAACTGAAAATTTTTTTTACACCTACTGGTAAAACACATGCGTTGACAAGTGGATCTTTGATGACAAAAATTTTCCACTCATCAAACTGCATTTGTCTCAGCTCTGGATTGGCTTTCAGTAATCTACGAGCCACTTGAAGGACACGCTGCGTTTGTGGATCGTTGAGTGCATAATATTTATCCTTGTACAGCTGAATAAGCTGGTTAAGCAAGAAAATTTAGATATAATCACTCAGAGTTTATATATTTTATATATTTATATATATATATATTTACTTATATATTTATATATAATCACATCAAAACAATGTTTTATGCTAACAATAAGATTGCAATGGCTGACTAAAAATATGATCCAAATGAAGAAAAACATAAAATAATCTTTTGCCAAACTTATAAATTAATTAAAAACAAGCTCCACAAAATAAATTACCATTTCTGCCTCTGCTTCAGAAATTTTGGCAATCTGCTCATGTGTGAATGTAATGAATCTTTTTCTCCCAGTGATTGGGGTTTCTTCCAGGTGGCTTATGTAATAGTAGGTTCCAGCAAGGGCCGTTACAAACACAATTCCAGCAGGTATATACCATTTCTGTTTCAGCTTGGCAAGTATGTCCTTCTTTCTCTGAGGGTCAAGTCGTTTGAACCAAATTCTCACAGTTCTTTTTTAAAAAAAAAAATTATTTCATTCACTAAAGAGTATGGTGAAGTATTTTAATGCCCATGTGGTTAGGGAGAGGTTTAAAAAGGTTTAAAAGTAGTAGTTAGTTAAATGTTTAATCTTGAACTATTTAAAAGTAACTATAATTCAGATTTCTGGTTTGAACCTAATCAAAGAAGAATGCTGCAATTGTTTAGATAAAACTTTATTGTTGTAGTAATTAAATTCAAAATGAAATTTTAAAATAGTTTGAAACAGTATCTAACAAAGTGTGATTTATAACAAATTGATGGAAGAACATAGAACGGTATATGATCTGTGAACTTAAAGTTTATGAACCATTGCACTAGGTTAATTTTTCTATCACATGGAATGAATCAACAACAGCCTTTAATTATTTTGTTAGTTACCTGCCAGTTACAGCTGCCCCAAACTTTGCCAAAGGTTTAAGAACCACCCAAAAAATTGGCGGTATCTGCCTTCTAGTGCTTGTATGAAATTCTCGTGCCGAGCTTAAGTTTTTATTTCTAATACAAACAAGTTTTTTATTGCTGTATAAATTGAATGATCTTTCACATTTTTTAAGATAACCTTGACTGTCAGTAGATTTTTTTCTTATAAGTGACAGCCCATTAGACTGGAAAGTATTTTTGAAGAACAATGAACTATGACGATGTATTATATTTTTTGTTGATAACAAACAGCATTGCAAAAGCTGGCGACTCATCTCCACAGAATAGCTTTAAACATTATCATCCAGGGGAGAAAGTATCTGCAAGGAAACATATATAGTTTAATTACATTGTTTAGGTATCATTATCATTATGAATACAGTACACATACATTTCCACCTTATTTTCTAAAAATGAGTTATTCAAATGATGATGTAAACAATGCAGTAGATCCTAATTGTTGAGGCCAGGTTTGTCAACAGTAACGCTTATAAGCCACAGCTCATGCTGTATAAAAGCCTTGATTGTACATTATATATCCCCTGTAATAGTTAAGTAGAACACACCTCAGTGAACGCCCACGTGTTAAACGTCAATGGGCACTCTAGGAGCCACTGTTTACACTATTGCAGGGGCACAAGGTAATCAAATGTAGTGGCCGGCTGTGTCTATAGTGCACTTTAAAACAAATATAGATGTGTTACTGCTCACAGGGTGTACAAGTTCACCTGACCACCTGGGTGCCGGCGGACATGCCTGAATTAATTTAGTCAACGATTTTAGTAGCCCACCGCAACCACATTAAAAAGAATGTCATCATTTTTTTAAAATTATGTCACCTCAACATTTCATCCACTGCAAACATTTTCTAAAGCCTGAAAAAAAAATGTTTTAACCTAAAAATCCTTTATTTTCATTTATCTTTTCCCATTCGCCACAATTTCTCTTGGCTTGTAAGTTCAGTATTATTTTGGTTATTCCTTTTAGTAGAATTACAGAAAGGAACAACTATTATATATCAGCACTCTACAATTGGGAGATTGTGGTTGGATGGGATGGTAGCATAAGCATTCGACTGCTAACCCAAAAGTCTTGAGTTCAAATCTGAGTTCAAATGCTTAGAAAATCCCTGAATTCACCCAGCTCTGATGGATACCTAGGGAAAGTAAGGTGGCGGAGCATAATGCAGACCACCTTATACCTTTATATGCCGAGGTCACAGAAACAGGTGAACTACTTCAATTACCCCATGGACCGTCAGTTTCATACTTATATCTACCACATATGTAGCATTTGAAATGTACTGATTAGTAATGGAAATTCCATTAATTCAAAGGAATGTAAATAAATTTAATTACGAAAGGTAAAAACAAGTAATTAAAAAAAGTCTAGTGACAATTTTAGCGCAATTTCCTTGTGTTATCTAAAAATAGCTCTGTCGTAGCGTAAATCAAGAGCAGGGTTAGTAAAACCATTGGTTAGTTATTAAAACATTTTTTATTAATTTTTTTTTCAGTATTTTACATGTTTTATTTACAATAGAGTAACATGAGTAAAAACCATTGCGCGCCCAGCTACGGAACGTGACGTCGCAGCCATTGAACGTGATGGCGCAGCTATTGAACATGATGACGCGTGTGGTGTGGTTGCATAAAATGCCTACTAATTCGGTCCAAATTTTAATTAATTCAAAAAAATTTTTGTGACCGAACGAAAGGATATTTTTGAAAACTTTCTTCGGCAATATTGTTCTAAATTATGACAGGAATCGATTGGTACATGTTTCAAGTCGCTAAGTGGTCTGGTTGCCGAGATATGGGCCAAAAACTGCTTTTTATCGAGGTTTTTTGGCTTTTCCGGGAAATCCATGAAAGAAACCCGGAATTTTTATGGCCTATGCTCACCCTCGTAACTTGCTTAACATAATTGCTTTTGGAACTAGTCATCGATATTGCTTCGTTGAGGAGGAGATACGACTTAAAGCCCGGACACACATTCATCCATACATTCATTCATCCATCCATTCCCAGAAATGACGAGTTAATAAACGCAATTCTCCAGAATGGAAATTGCGCTAAAAAAACTTAAATACATATTTGGATGTAAAAACAATCTATAAAAATCCCAGCTGAGTAGTTTCCCTGAATGTACTAGAATCTATTTACTAATGACTCGCACTAATGACTCAATGAGTATTATTATTACTAGGATACAGTAGCTGTTATACTCTATTCTATACATATACAATAATAATACTGTACTCTACTACTACTACTGTGAAAAATGAAGTGAAATTACTAATTAGTAATTAGTAATTAGTGAAGGTAAAATTAGTTCAATTAATAATTAGTAATAGTAGGCCTAAGTACTAAGTAGTATAGGGTAAAATCTTAGTTTAGCGTCGTAAATTCGGCCAAAACTAGTAATGTGGGAGAGAGTGAACTAATGAATATGTCATTAAATATAAGTATATTTTCGTATATTTTGATAAAATATTATAGATAATTGAATAATAGATCACCATTTATGATTAAATCAATTTAAATATCCTGAAATTAATTTTTATCAACCCTGTTCGAGATAGTAAATCTGCTATTAAAAACAGCAGCCATCTTGAGAAAATGTTATTTAGAGTAGCTTCCCTTTAATTTCTATTCGTATGAAAATGTATTTAAATATGATTGTCTTGTTGTATAGTCCGTATTACAAAGCATTTTTTTTTTAAATTCTGCCCTTTAAAAACTGAATTTCCTAACAAACAACTTTATTAATTCTAGAAGCATTGTGAGATGCAACTTGTATCCATGTATTAAATCACGCTTTTTTAACTAATGTTTATTTGATCTTACTATTACTATATAGTTTGAGTTTTTTCTTATTGTTTGAATGACTATTTTCATTTCAGGTTTTTCTTTTCATCAATTAGTGATTATATCGTAACTTATGACATTTTTTTACTTCTCTTTACCTTAATTAAACCCCAACCTCCGTCATATTTTTGTTGTCAATGTCACAACAAGCAGAGGCGTAGCGACCCTTCCCGGCGCCTGGGGAAAAAATTTTCGATTTGCACCCCCCTCAAGATTTCGATTTGCACCCCCCTCAAACTTTCAATTTGCACCCCCCTAAGTCTTTCAATTTATTTTTCCAACCCATTTTGGCGCCCCTTAAGGTCGGCGCCCGGGGACATATGTCCCTCCCCCCGCCCCCCCCCCCCCCCTCGCTACGCTACTGACAACAAGTCATAATGTAAAAAATTACGCTTCACTCTGCCTTATCTAAGATCTCTAACCATAATTTTGACAACATTAAATGTTTGTCATCATTTATATATATACGGAGAGACAAAATGTATTATCCACCAGCTTCCCTAGTAAAACATCATCTAAAACAATGAACCAGTCCACCCCTTAAGTGCGTGTTGTCATTGTGGTCCATCGCAAGTCTCCACCTGCCAGACACATTTTGGTTATCCTTTGTTGTCAAATTGTCAATATCAAATACCCAAGTGAGTGATATGGGGTTGTCCATAAATGATGTCACATATGATTTGCTACGGGAGTGAGTAAAGATTTGTGACGTCAACTCAAGCGGCTCCGCAGTTTATGACGTGTCGGTCTCATGAAAGGAGGTGAACGGGGAAAATACCTAGGTGGTTGACAGAGAACCTCTATAATGCTTTGTTCAATCAAAATAACGATAAATAAGCATTAATATACGTAAACCTTGCTCATCAAAAATGTTGCAAGCCTGCTAGTTTAAGACATTTTGCAAAACGGCCTCAACACATTATCCCCGTCAAAAAGGCTTGCTACCAAATGCCTGCCGACGAATAAGCCGCGTCTAATGCGGGGCGTTAGGAATACGGCCATTAGCATGGGCCGCGTTAGAGCACCAGTAGGCTATCGCGCTTTGTAAGATGATACTTAAATTCAATTTCGCTAAACAGCGCGAAAATTTAGTAATGTTCCGTCGTTTGAGGACATTTATTTTCTTGGACTTAAATTGAAATATCATGTTGACTGTCTGGCTCTTAATTTCCAAATATCACTTTTAATGTATCAAGATTCAGAACTATAATTTACTTTAATATAAGTGTCATCGTTTATTGTGCTTTTTATAAAGTGCAGAGCAGCTTCAAAATCGGACGGCCATCCTGTTTTCACCAAGCTTCTTTTGGAGCTTAATATGGGTAGTCTAGTTCTATACGGTGAGAGCTTAATACATTTTTAAAGGGCCGAAAGTCTCAAGACAGCAGAAATAACCACGTACGTTTAAATGGACGAGTGATAGATGTGTTAGGGGCTGTTTAATGAACACCAACTTATGTAATCAAATTAAACGTCGCATAAGCGTCAAAACGGCAGTGCTTGTTTGTATTTTTCTATAAAATTAGCCTAACGGTCGGTGGTACCGGTATATGACATCACGCGCGAGCGTTAACTCGGGTGACGATGTGCTAAGTGGGGGAATGAAAAGGTGGGGTTCAAGAAATGCGACCCAGCATGCTTTTTACATTTCTTGACCCTTCTTAATAGTTCTATCGTCCCCACTGAGAAAATGGATCACCAATGAATGACGCGTCATACTTCTACAGTTGGTCTTTCTCCCACAACCATCCCCTGTTTTCACTAAACAAAAACCAGACCTGTCTCCAAAATCATATCGCTGAGTTCTACTCAACCTCTCCCCACCACAAATCACAATTTCTATATGAAACAATATGTTCATATGTTTGTTCTGTAATAATGCACGCTGTCATTACTATCTTAAGAGCGACGTCATTTATGAGCGATCTAATATTGATTTGCTTACTGCAAATAAAGTGTTCAAAAGTTCGACCTCCCAACAATTGTTGTGGTCTTGGATACACACTATTAAGTCTGATAAGGTTTATTAGTCATTCATGTCAACTATATTTTAAAAAAAAAGAAAAATTACTATACAGGGGGTCATCCATAAATGTAAATGATGTCACGCTTTTTTTGACGATCTTTACCTCCCCCCTCCCCTCCGTCACACGTCGTCACAAAAAGCCAGACCCCGCCCCCCTAAAATGACGTCACACCTTAGCCTACAACCCCCCCCCCCTCAAAATTGCAGTTGAATTGTTTTTAAACAGCTATGTTTTTCCAAAATCTTGTCTGAACTCTGTCAAAACTGTTTTAATACATTATAATAACAATTGATTAATTGTTATTATAATGTATTAAAACAGTTTTTTAAAACGCAAAATAACGTCTAAAATTCGTTTTCTAACATTACTTTTTTAAAATGCAAAAGTGTGACGTCGCACCATCTGAACCCCTCCCCCTCCCCCTCATCACACAACGTCACAAAATTACGGACCCCCCTCCCCCCTACGAGTGTGACGTCATTTATGGACGACCCCCGGCATATATTAAAACAATACAAAACAATCATATTAAACCACAAAATCAACACAAAAGACATGCGAATAGACAATTTATTGTTTTTAAAACATGGCCGCTGCTTGTATTTCCTCATTGTTGTCTCGAACGGGGTAGTTTAAAGTTTATTCCAGGATATTTATGACTGGTTTGGTCTTGGATTGTGATTTGTTATTCAATTATCTGTTATGTTATGTAAAATATGACATAAATATGGCCAAATGAAAGAAATATTCATTAGTTACCTTCATCGCACATTACTAGCTACGTTGGAATTTACGACGCTAAACTAAGATTTTACCTAGTATAGTATTAGACAGTATAGTAGTTATACTATATTTATAGACAGTTTATAACTTTATTAATAGACGTCTAGTAGTTAACTTACAGGCACTCAGGCTCAGGTGTTAGTGTTGTCAAGTCAAGAAGTAAAGTATTATATTTATACTCTGATACTTATTACTTTACTATGTATCGATACTAAATACTAATGCTTTCTTTTTCTATATTTTCATAAAGTGACAGACCAGTCCATTAAATTTGATAGCGTGTGATTATTTATTTACATTATTATTGTCAGTCACTCAGAGTGAGTTGAATTACCCCACTCGCAAGGTTGATCTAGGAACTATAATAAACAGTTGGTAGTTACTGCCCTTGGGAAAGCCCCACATATTGGGAAATCTATCTTGTTTAGAAGATCCACTCACGCAAACTAGGCAAGGGTAGCCACAACATAATAGTTTTTTTTTAATTCAACCATTTTCAAAAGTCCTAATCCAATATATCTTATAACTAAATCTTAATATAATTATTTTATGGTCAAATAAAAGTGCATAAAGACCTTTTTTTTCAAGCTTGTAGAGAGTCAACAGTATTAGAAACTGTAAGAAAATCACGGCGCCCCACGTTTTTCATCGCTTATACTAGTAGAGTGATCGCTTTTGCATTATTGTGATGTATAGCATTTATTTTCTACTTTTTAGTTCAATCAGAAAACGTGGGTTTTTTAAAACTTTTTTAATGATTATTATTTAACTACAAAGAACGAGGTTTTCCAGATAAGCCCCGCCACTTTTTTTGCCAGCTCCAATGTAATACACACAAACAACTTAGGGTTAGGGTTAAGATTAAAGCAGAGTTTCTTCCAGGTATCTCTTCGGGCTCAGCCCCCCCCCCTCGAACGAAATGGAATTTATATATAAAATATATGCTTTTAACAGTGTCTTCCCCCCCCCCCCCCCCACGAAAATTTTAAGTGCCCCCCCCCCCCCTCTCCACTCGGAGAAAAAAGTTTGGAAGAAACACTGGATTAAATACAGACTTTTTCATTCAAATTATATTCAAATACTCCATTTTGTTCAAATAAAATGTGCATGTACTGATATTGAAAACTGATCTTCATTTTAAATAACTAATTAGACTCTAAGGCCAAAGCTAGGTGATAACATTCAGTGTAAAGCTGGAACTGGTGATGGTGATTTTAAAGACGGGCTTAACTAATTGAGTACCTCCTTTAGCATTTTCGGGGTAAGCAGTCTAGCTTTTGACTGTTATTTTTGTAGAAAAGTAATTATAGTTCAAAGTTACTTTAAAAAAAAACTTTACAACAATACAACAGCTTGGTGTTTATATTTTATTTTATATTAAACAAAAGTAAATGTAAAATAACAATGTGGAAAATGGGGTTTTCAACATACACAAAAAGACAGGCATTAGTAATTTACTGCCTTAAAGTTAAAATATTACAAATAATTTGATTTCAAACATGGAAGGTAAACCAGTATTTCAGCTAAAGAACACAAAAGTGTAACAAGTTTTAAAATCCAAAAGCATTTCTCTACAGGTTCAAAATTTAGTTTTAGCAAATAAATGCAACAACAATAAAAAAAAAAGTAATACTGAGAAAATCACACCTAATTTCCAATATAGTTTTTTTACCTGTACAGATTTGACATTGCTCAAACATGTTTCATTTAATTTACAATGAACTGTATGCTATGGCCTATATTTACAGCCATGCTTGAAATGCTTAAAAACAAGTTTACAAAATCATTTAATGAAAGTCAGCAAAATGTATTATATTGGGATAATACGGCTAATAGAAAACTGTTTCCACAAAAGCATGAGTGTGAGATTCATTTTCAAAACTTTCTGCTCAACCAGAACAAGGTGATACTTCACAGTCTTTTCAGAATTTCTTGAATGTGCCTGAAATCCTGAAACAATGTTCAAAATATCCATAAAAATTAATGAGTTAAAAATCAGTAAACAAATGCAAAAATAAAATGGTCTACACAAGAATGTTTCCAATAATGTAGTCAGTCACAACACAAACATCAAAGAAAATAATAAATCAAAGCCTACAAAACAACTGCAAAATAGGTAAAACTGAATATTTTACCTGTGCTAAAATTTTTAAAAATAAAATAACCTATGTTTGAATAACATGTTGTGGGACAATGTAAATGTTGTTAAAGCTAACTCATACTCATATAGTACCTGGGTGTTTTTAAACAGAAAAGACCTTGAGATAAAAAGCTTTTTTCTTTGAGAACAATATCGCCAGAGATGGAGGACCTCACCTGAAATAGACATTTTTTATTATGCGACTATCTCATTGATTTAGATAATTTTAATTTACAAAGCTTGTTTCTGTTTAATGTGACTATTGTATTTTTGTCTGCAACTTAGAAACTTATAAAAGAAGTTATCATTTTAGCCTATGTCTTTTTAAGACTTTTTAACTCTAATTAATCAGTACTTGAAGTGGCAAAAAGCATTTTTCTTCTACATATTTTGTAATTTTTTTTGTCTTGGTGTCACCCCCAAATTGGTGTCACCTGGTGCGGTCCGCACCCCCTGCCCCCGCCTCTGATATATATATATATATATATATATATATATATATATATATATATATATATATATATATATATATATATATATATATATATATATATATATATATATATATATATATATATATATATATATATATATATATGTATATATGTATATATATATATATATATATATATATATATATATATATATATATATATATATATATGTATATATATATATTATATATATATATATATATATTATTTTCATTAATTTTTAAGTAAAACTAAGTTATACCATTTGGCAACTAAACCCTATGTTAATATGATAAATACACTATTAATTGTAAAGGATAAATAAAATAAATACCATTGATAGTTTTGGAGTAAGTTCCATCCACACCAGAGACAAAGAATTGACCTCTCATGTAACTGAACTGCTCTATGTTTCTTGTGTTGACCATTAAATCTTCAGTCAAGGGAGTAAACAAACTGGAGCCAGATGGCTGCCAGTCTTCTGTGTGGAAGATTGAATCACTGTCCAAATGAGGGAAGTGAATAAAATGTTTACCTGAAAAAAAAATTATAAAACAAATTTTAAAAATGTAATTCCTCAACGCAAATTTATTTTTGTGGACACAAAGTACCCTACTAGACTTAGAAGTCCATGGAGAAGAGTTCAATTTTGAAAAAAAAATAGAAAATCAAAGATTCCAATATAATTTGGAATAGCATAAAATAATGTATCGTAGACCTATAAGAGCCTCTATAATATGATAATGAATAAACAATTACCAGAAATTTTCCCGCTGTCCATGTCTGTATCATATGCATTCTGCCAGCTCTCTGTGTATACAGTTGTTTCATACATTTTTCTTTTCTTTTGTGGAATCTGCAACAGCTCATCCCCCATTTGGCAAAGCATTACCTAATGGAAAATTACACACCAACAGCTAAAAGTACAAAAAAAAAACTATTTTAAAATGTAAATGCAACAGAGCCTATCAATTTTTCTATTCCATCTAGCTCGTAGGACTACATCAGGATGATGCCTATAAAGATTAATTTATAGTAGTAGGCTTATATTAATTAATAATCTTATTATTACTGGATTAGGCCTATAATACTAATAGTTCGGCTAGATTAGTATGTAATTTACATAGTAACGCAGCTGGCTAAAAGACTAAAACTGCTGTTTTTTTTTAAATATTTAATATTGATTAGCCCCTAATGCCTAAAATTATTAGCCTATATATATAGTATACACTATATACTATATTATATAGCCTATAGAATAGATAGATAGGCCTAACTAATAAAAAAAAAAGTAACTATTAACTAACTAATTAATAAATGCTAAATAATAATATTCAAATATTAGTTAGGCTACCTAGTTGTTTTTTTTTTTTACATTAGTGTCATTAGTGACTCATTAGTCTCTTATCTTAGGTCTACCCTTTCGGCTTTGACTTTTTTAGTCACTTCACTTAGGCTTACATAGGTCTTAGATTAATTACTACTTAATGTTTAAGTTTAATAATTATTAATATTATTATTAATTATATTAAATTTAGGTCCTGACTGTTAGGACTGTCTCATCATGATCATGTATGTTCTGTGTACTGTGTACGGTTGTGTGTAGTCAAGTTGTCAACGTATTCTTAGTCTTCTTAATATATTATATAATAAATACAATAGGTAATCTATCGTTTTGGGTACGTAAAATCGCCCGCGGCTATTTATGTACGAAAACGTTACCTCATTGTCAAGGCTTTAATAGAAGTATATTGTCATACTTTTGTGTCAAATATTATAGGTAAATGAATAATAAACCTAAATCAATGGCAAAATATATCGATATTGGCCAGAAATTAACTTTAAACAGCAGTGTCTGAGAGCAAGATTTGCTATATAAACAGCAGCCATTTGTAAAATAGAGTGGCTTCCCCCTGAATCTGGCGCTAAAAGCTTATAAAAATAAAACTTAGACAAGATGGCTGCTATAGTAAATGAGCATGGTTGCATCTGTTGGAAACATCGCTAGTCTTCATTTATTACGGAAAAGTTTTAATTCAATTGTTTAAAAACAGGTACATAAATGAATCAAGGAAACATTTTTGAATTTTTTAAAACATAAATCTTCCTCAAAATGTGAAATAATTACTAAAATTTAAGGAGTCACCTGTTTTTCACATTACAAATCGCGGGCGATTTTACGTACCCAAAACGATAGATATTAGATATTTGTCAATTTGATATTAGATTACCATAAAATTTAAAAATAGATCTACGTCTTTGCTTTTGTTAGTTAAAAGAATGCTCCCAGGCAGTTTGGCCTACTCCCAGTTACAATTCAATATACATTCTAATCTAGTTTCTAGACACTGAGAGATCTGATCTAGAATCTACATCTAGATCATAGTTTTGTACGGTTTTCAAATAATAAAGACGAATCTCGTAAGTGAAAGTGAAAGTAACATCAGTGCCAGGAAAGTAATACAGTTTACATTCATTTTTAAGATAATAAAATATTTTACCTAATTAGGCCTACAATTAATTGGCCTATTTTTCATATTTGTTATGTTCTATTGATTTTACTTATTAATGTATTAAAAGCAATTTTAAAAATGTAATGTTTTATTTATAGATCTAAATCTAGATTTTATGTAAGTTAGCGAAAACAACTAAAACTTAGATCCAACAATTTTATGAACTTATTTGGCAAGCAGAAGTAGAATTAAAAACTGTAAACAGAACTCCTAAAATACATCAACACATGGATTTGCTAGGTTCAGATTCGGAAGAAGAGCAAGTTGAATTTAAAATAAATGAAAGTTATGCAAAAAATTATGAAAAGTGGCGTAAAAAAGAGGAACACCAAAAACGTAAACGTCTACTTTTGTATAGTCTAGACTCTAGAGTCTAGATTAGTACATCTACAACATTTTACTTAGACTTTAGCGGGTTAGACCGTAAGCCCTAATAATAAATCGGGTGTTGGGAAATTGCGAAACGGCGAGGCGGTAAACTGCGAGAAGGGCGTGATAACGGTCGGTCACTAGACTTTTGTCTCGCATATTACCACAACCCGATACCTAATACTTACGCTGGGTGGTGTTAAAATGCGAAGATATCCGCGAAAAATTTACCGCAACCGATTTACAGTGGTATTTGATGCAGACTCTAAAGACGTTTTGTTTACATTGTTAGAACTTCTGATTTTTCCATCGCTAGACATACTGATGATTTGTCAACTCCCCCCATCTTTTGTGTCGACCTAAAATACCACCTTGTTCGAAACCGCCCCAAATACCGCCGACTTCTTTCTTTTGTGTGTAACACCGAGGCCGCCTTAAGTTCAATATCTGCATTAAAGTTCATAGTAAACCATAATATATTATATATTTAATATATTGGAATTTGAGTAGGCCTATAGTAAAATTTGTGTAGGCTTCATCCTTTTTTACCCCCACCCAGGTTAACTAATCAGGTGGGGGTAAAATGCAAGACAATGTCTCTAGACTAATCGTTTTTGCAGCCTTCTTGCTTATTTTACTGCCTAATTAATCCTATCTCACATTTTACACCATTTAGGAGGCTGGACATTGTTCCTCCCTAAGAATTTAAGTGCTGCACTGTCAACGATATCCGTGACAGTTATTATTACTTTATTAAACTTTTTTTTTAAATCTTCCAGTCAAAGATAGGTATGGAGATGCTGATACCTCAAGCTCTTCAGAAGAAGAAGAAATTGTGAGTTTTAGTAAATTGAAGTTAAAATATTTATTTCCATTTGTAACATATTTTTAAAAAAATTTAACCATTTTGGTTATTACAATCAAACTATTTACCTAAATTTTTTTCTGTTGAAAATAAAATGATAGTGGTTAATAAATTAATTACAATTAAAACTTACGGTTGTCTTTTGGTGTCATCAAATCTAGTTAATGTTGTTTATTTATTGAAATTTTTTTAATATTTTTATATTTACTAATTCATCTATTAAACGATTTTAATGAATGTAGCGATCCACCCCTCAAATGGACAAAGACTGGCTAAGAGCTTATGCTGTGGTCAGGTTTAATCAGCCAAGGCTGTATAAGTCAGGGGAAAAGTTTTTCCATGGTGAGTGATTACAATGTATTCGTAATTCTTCACATTTTAAAATATTTCATTAATAAGATATAACTGACGATTTTTGTTTTGCTTATTTCTATTGTTGATATTTAACAGAGGTAGCTGAGCCTGTGGTGAAAAAGAAGGAAAAGCCCTCTACCTTGAAAGATCATGAAAGAAAGTTTATCCTTGAGAAAGGAGGGCAAGTACCTACAATTTTAACTTAATACATAATTTTGGCCTAAGCAAGAAAGACAACTTTAATGGTTTCCATGATGAATAGTTCAGGGTGGCAATTGTAAGATCATTTCCCTTTTCCTATTATTAAACAAAAGGTTATAAAATATTTGTATGATTATCTCCCTTTCCCCATTAAACAATAAAGGTTATAAAACATTTGTAGGATTATCTCAACAAAAATGTTCAGGACTATCTATCTTAGTTCACTCATGTGAGAATTCATACTCAGATACTATAGTATGGCAATCAGCTTCTGGTTTATCATCAGTTTTGTGTGATAAATGATTATAATTGTTTCTGTTTGGATTTTTAAAATGTATATTGTTTTCACATCAGCGTGGAGAGTGATGATGAATCAAAGACACAAAAGCCTTTGGGTAAAAGCTACTTTGAGGAACAAGAGGAAATCAAAAAGAGGTGTGTTGGCCTAACTATTACAGCCTTATATGGACAGATATTAGCATTACATGCTCTTCCTTATATTAACACTATGTAAAACTTGTATGATTTATTAAACACTGTTTGCTCAGCTTGAAGGAAGCTCTTCCTGAGTCTAGTGATGAAGAGGAGGGGGATCTCTTAGTCAAACGTCAAAAAACTGATGAAGAGAAGGTCAGTAATAATAGAATTGATTAACTTAAAATAACTAGTGGTTTAAGTAGTTATTTTGGTTCTGTGCTAAATAAATTAAATAAATCAAAAAATGATTTTTGTTGTAAAATTTAAATAATATTCTTGTATCAGTTTATAATACTGTTTAATCTTTTTAAGAGTACTTTAAAGTTTGTTCACCTATCAACAAAAGAATATTTAACATTAAGTTGATTAAGTATAGACTGCTGATAAAGTTTTTAATTTTAACTGTTTAGAAAGAAAATATTTTAAATTGATCAAATGCTTAACGAATATATCCACCGCAGAAAAAAGAAGAAAATGAATTCCTGGAGTGGTTGAAGGGTGAGAGAGTGGAGTTAGAGGATAAGGAGGCAGCTGCTGAATTGGTAGGTACTCTTATAAAGGGTTAAGGGAAATGGGGTGTGTTGGATATACCAGATGTACAAGAAATATACTGGTTGCTGCTGAATTGGTAGGTTTTGTGTGTGTTTAATTTCATTCTTAGCTACCTAATGTCATTGTACATTTTTGACTTGTTTAAATTCAACGTTGAAGTATATAATAGTTGTTTGTAAAACTTTTATAAGTTTAGTAAATTATTTTCCTAATACATGCTTTCTGGTCACAATATTACTCTAATTAATTATATGGGGACCAAAATATTTTTGGGAGGTCCTCTTAAAATTGTAAAATTTGATTGAGTATTTTACATTGCTCCTTAGGCACCACTTAAAGCGTATTGGAATGATCCAAACCTCAGTGAGAAAGAAAAGGTTTTACGAGACTACATCTTAAACAATGGATACATTGAACAAGAAGACTCGTGAGTTAATGTTTTTACAATCTGTACACTTGTGTTCTCTCTTCACCAGTATGGAAAGTTGTAAATATTATTCTAGTTTTGAATTAATTGTGTTAGTGTTTTGGATGGCAGTTGAGTAAGTTGTAGTTATAGTTGCAGTTAAAAATTAAATGTGCTTGTTTCTTGGATGGCAGTTGAGTAAGTTGTAAATATTGTTGTTGTTAAAATCTAAATTTTTGTGTCTTGGATGGCAGTTGAGTAAGTTGTAAATATTGTTGCAGGAGTGAGGATGAGTCTGAGGAGGAGGAACAGAAAATATTCCCAGACTTCAGGGCAGAGGAGGAGTTCCTAGAGAAGGCTGAGGAGTATGAGCAGAAATACAACTTCCGCCATGAGGAGCCAGGATCAGATGAGGTGAAGATTGATCTTTGAAATTACTGGAGATTGTGGGGGCTTAAACTGTAGGCTGATAAATATGTTGAAAATGGTTAAAAATTTGAAGTTTCTCTCAGGATTGCAGCTTTAACATGAATAATATAATGCTGATTGTGGTATTTTTCTTAGATGACTTATTAGTTGTATAAAATGTTAAAAAAAACCAATGTAAATATCTTGCTGTAGTTTTGAAGGTTGTGATGTTTGTGTTTGCCTTCTGCTAGAACTAACTGTTGTGTTGTCATACCTAAACTGATTGACCCTCTGTTTTAGATCAAAAGTTACCCTCGTGTGATCGAGACATCTGTTAGAACTAAAGACACAAGAAGAGCTGATAAACGTCAAAAGAAGTTGGAGAAAAAGAAAATGGTATTTGATTTGCGTTAATAATATTTTAAAACACTGACAAAATATATATATAAGGTGGTTTTTTAAATTTAATTTTACCACAAAAACTATTTGGTATGCTTATTAACTTAATGCGTTTATTTACAGTTACTTAAATATTTACAAGTGTATATGTTTTATCATTGACATTCTTGTTTTTTTTTTTAATTATTCTTGTAGGAACGAGAAAAAAGAAAAGAAGAGATCAGACTTTTACAAAAATTGCAAAGAGAAGAAAAGAGAGAAAAGCTAGAAAAGTTAAGAAAAATCGCCAACAATCCTAAACTTGATTATGATTTGGAGGCAGATTTTGATCCAGAAGAGCATAACAAAATTATGCAGGTGATTCTTTTTTCAATTGACTCTTTTTATGTCTGTGATAGTTTTTTATTCTTCTTACCATCTTTTGAACTTATTTTAAACAAGAATTACACAGCTAAGTAACAAAACTGAGTAATCCACATCAGAATTTGGTGTTCCATTTCACAGATAATGTAACTGTATGTTGCTTTATGTTTAGTGAATTCTGTTGTTGAGTAGTAAGATTCAAGTCTGAGCAGAAGATATTATTTTTTTATTGTTTTTTTAATAAGTGTTCACAATATGGTCCAATGAACAGGTAGCTAATGATTAAAAACAAATAGTATTTGCAGCCTCACAATGGATAAATTAAAAACTGCAACTTTTACTTTTGCAGTCTTACTTCAATGATGATTACTATGGGGTAGGGGATGATGACAAACCTCGCTTTGAGTACGATGCTGCTGTGGATGAGGAACCAGGTCTGTTAAAAGAAATGTTTGGCCATTTCAATGATGTCAGGATAGTTATTATATGTGTGCAGTTTTGTCTTGTCTTTGGTTTGACAATGCTGTTATGTGTATGTAAATGTCTGTCCCTGTCTACAAAGCAGTTTTTGTTTTACTGTTTAATTGACTGTTACTATGGTTATGGTTATATTTGTCAATTTTATTTTTAGATAACTGGTGGAATGAAAGATTGCAGGAGGAAGCAAAGGATGAAGAAAACACAACAGAGGGCGGGGAGGATGAAGGTCAATCAGCAGATGATGGACAGGATTACGAACCAGGGCCTGATGATCCAGATTTTGTTGTAAGTCACGTCTTTATTTTTGTTGTAGCTTTTTTTAATTGTTGTTAGAAAATTTTGATACCGGCAATCAGTTAACTAGAGCAGTTTTGAAAAAGTTTGTACATGTTGACACATTATGGTATTGATGGACGCTGACTATGACCCACAAATGTTTATATTGTATATGTTTGTTAGATGGACGCTGACTATGATCCATAAATGTTAAATTGTATGTTTGTTAGATGGACACTGACTATGATCCGTAAATGTTTATATTATATGTTTGTTAGATGGACGCTGACTATGACCCAACTCGTGACTACAAAGCTGAGAAGAAGAAAAAAAAGAAAAAGGGAAAGGTGGTCGAGAAACTTCCTTTATTTGACCCCAGTAAGTACCAGTTTATATTGGTGGTCAGGTTTTGTTATTACACAATCAGCACCAGTTTGATATTCTATACTAACTCAGTCATTACCAATCTTTATTGATGTTCATGTTTTGTTCTGTCAAAGAGCCCAATCTTTGTTGATGTTCAAGTTTTCATCTTACAATAAGGCTTAGTCTATGTTGATGTTTATGTGTAGTTTTAACAAATTAAGTACATAACATATATCAATGTAACACACTTTTCCATTGTTTTTCTTAAAATTACTATTATGTGTAAAATAATTATTAGCTATCCTTCATTATTTTTACTTTTAGAATTAAAAACAATTTTTTAATGAACTTAGGTAAAGGAATTATGTGCATGGAAGAGTTTTTGTGTAGCTTTTTATCTTGAGTTAAACTTTATCAACTTTACAGCCAAAACTACTTTTGATGAATACATGGATGAGTATTTGAAAGACAAGATTGATTCTCTCCCCTTTACTTACAGAGAGGTTGTACCCAATGATTTTGGACTTAGCACAGAAGAGGTAAAGTTGTCCTTTGAGTTCCATTTTTATGAATTATATTTGCTTTTTTAAAATAAGTAAAACAAACTTGTAGATTTGTTTTTATCATAAAGATGTTTTCAAATAAAAGGGATAACCTTGTATATTGCTGTATTATATCAATATAAAATTTTGTTTACCTCCCTTGAATGTTTAATGTAGGTAATGATAGATATTCATTGGTGCTATGATTTTTATGAGATTATATGATTTTTATTTAGATACTGAGAGCCCCTGAAAGAGAACTGAATTCTTGGGTGTCTGTCAAAAAGATGAGCCAGTATCGTTCCAAACAAGAAGAGTTATCAGAGAGACGGAAATTTCTTGCGAGGGCCAGAATGCCAGAGAAAAAGTTGAAAATTATTCCTTCGTTAGCTGAGAAAGCTGAGTAAGTGATCATGTAATGTACACAATTGTTTTGTTAGCATTCTCTTTTACTTGTCTCAAAATTTTACTTGTGTCTGGCATTTGTAATATTAAAAATTTGGTAATTTATCAACCTCCTCAAAAATTTTCTTAGGGAGAGCAAAGATGCAAAGGACGTGACCAGTAAGAAAACAAAGAAAAAGAAGAAGAAAAAGAAAATTAAGCCAGTGGAGGGTGGGGAGAAGACTGAACAGAAGAAAAATGAGGAAAGTTCAGCACAAGATGGTCAGAAAGTTTTGAAAAGGAAGAGAGAGAACAGTGAGGTGTCTAGCCCAGATAAAGTAAAACCCAAAAAATTGAAAACAGGGAATGAAGAAACGAAACAAAATAAAGTTAGAGAAAAGAGCTCGCTTGACAGAAATATTCTCAAAAAGAAAAAGAAGAAAAAAATGCAGCTATCAGTTGAATCTAAGAAGACAAAACCTGCTGCGCCTGCAAAAACAACCCCCCAGGCACCGGATAAAACAAAGGTGAAGAAGAAGAAGAAAATATCACTCCAGCTTTTTAAGTCAGGGGACAAAAGTGCTGTGGGCAACAAAGAACTGAAGAAGCAGTTAAGTAAAGTTATGTCTGCTGCCAGGCTAAGCAAATACGGCATCGGGCCGAATGCCGTCAAGATGAAAAACAAAAAGAAGAAAAAACAAAAAGTTGCTTCTTGAGGTCTCACTGATGTAATGTTTCTGCTGTTTTTGTCCTTCTAATGATAATATTAAAGTAATATTTTTATGTTTGATATGTTGTCTTAGTTCTTACTGTAACTAATTTTATTTAAGTTGGCTTAGCCTAGCTTTGTGGGGAAAATTTTTAAAAAGGATTTAAGTTAACAAACTACATGCTTAAAAAGATAAGAATCCTTTGAGGAGTAATGTCATTATTTGATGGATCATCCTAAATAGATGCTCAGTGGTTTGTTACAAAAGGTTTTTAAGTTGCGTCAACATTGTTCTCTGTTATCCATTTGGATATGGAACGGTGTGGTCAAACAGTAGAGTTCATGACTTCTAACCCAAAAGTATCGAGTTGGGATCCTGGACTGGAGTCTATGCCATCCAGCTCAGACAGGCACCTCACTTGCGTTTAAGAAAGTGGCTAACCACACTATGCCTTCGTATGCTGAGGTCACCTGACTCAGGAAAGTGGCTAACCACACTATGCCTTCATATGCTGAGGTCACAGAACTGTGGTCTACCCAATGGACTTACAGGTTCAAAGGATAACTTGACTTTTTTTTAATATGTCAATTAGGATAAAAACTTTAATAACACCTTTGGGATTTATTGCAGCTTTTTAAAACAAATGATAATTAGAGCAAAAATAAAAAGTCTAAAGGGTCATCCATAAATGACATCACGCTTTTTTGGACGATTTTTACCTCCCCTCCGTCACACAATGTCACAAAAAGCCAGACCCCCCCCCCCCCCTAAAATGACGTCACACCTCCTCTTACAACCCTCCTCAAAATAGCAGTTGTATTTTTCTTTAAACATCGATGTTTTTCCAAAATCTTGTCTGAACTCTGTCAACATGAAGTATTTTAATTGATTCCTATTACAATTTATTAAAACAATTTTCTAATATGCGAAATAACGGCTAATACTATACTCATTTTGTATCATTGCTTTTTTATAATGCAAAAGTATGACGTCACAACATCTGAACCCTACCTCATCACACACTGTCACAAAATTACGGACCCCCCTCCACCCTACGAGTGACGTCATTTATGGACGACCCCCTAATCTTTCATAAGCCCAAGTATATTAAAGAGCTTTATTTAGTTCTAGCTTCCTCCCGTGGTTTTTGCTTCTCTCAACATTTACTTGAAATTAATAAATTACAGAGTTATGCTACAGATGATAAAATTCCCCCCCCCCCCCCCACTCTAACACAGCCTTTAAAATGGGTTTAGCTGAATCAGTATGGGGTACACACTCATTAAAAAATGGCAATATTGAGTCTTCTCTTTACTGTGAATAGATTAACCAGTCAACTTGCCTCTATGCTGCAAGAACAATGGGGCTTAGTGTGTCATACATAACTATGTGAATATGTAACCCCATACATAACACTATGGATACGTAGCCAACATACATAACAGTATGAAAATGAAACCCACATACAAAACACTATGAAAACGTAACCTATGCTGATCAGAGTTTCTTCCAGGCATCTCTTCGGGGGGGCGAAGCCCCCCCGAAAATTTTTTACCGCCCCCCCGAACGAAATGAAATTTATATAATTTATATAGAAAATATATACTTTTAACAGTGTCCGCCCCCCCCCCCGAAGAAAGTTTACCGCCCCCCCCCCGAAGATTTCAAGTGCCCCCCGGAGAAAAAAGTCTGGAAGAAACACTGATGCTGATTCACCCTGTTTAATTGTTTCGGGTAAATTTTTCAAAATTAAATATTTTATAAGCTCAACTTTAATTTGAATTTCAGGCCTACATGTTTAATTGTTTATGCTATGTGATAACCATGTTCTACAATTAAGAACTAAGTTTGGCCGCCTTTTTAAACAAAACAAACACCAACAGTTATTACAATAGATTCTAGAAGTAGAATTCACCCCCCCCTTCCCCGTGAGGGCATTGATATGCTTCAAGTGTATGCCTCAAATTGTTGTTAATCGTAGTGGAATGGGGTACCTTAGAGGCGGTGGCAAGCTTCCTCGTTCTGTGCAGAGGGGGGGGGGGGGGGCGGAGAACATCATTGCTTCCCCCCCCCCCCCCCCCCGCGACGAAATATATTATAATTTATACAGAAATTAATAAACTACTTTAACCAGTTTCCGAAAGTTTCAAGTGCCCCCTCGGAATTTTTTTTTATGAACGACTTTTCTATAAACGTGCTTTTCACTAACGGTAAAAACAGTTCAGTGACGTCATTTCCCGTGCTCGACATTCTCCATTACCATTTATTGTCAAGTTAGGCTATCGTTTCTTTTCCAACTTGAACTCCCAGCTACCCATTTCATTTGTAGATCTAGAATCTAGACTAGTACAATATATATATATATATATATATATATATATATATATATATATATATATATATATATATATATATATATATATATATATATATATATATATATATTCGTTAAATCTTTCATTTTTTGTTGTTTAATATTTCCTAGATTTATGGCAGGGGTCCGCATGCGACCCGCGGTTCGCGGAGCCTTGATGCAAAGTGTTGCAATAAAGATATCCAAGGAACCCATTACTCCAGACGAAATGAACACATTTTTAAAAAATATGGCCTGCCCTTTCGAAATTTCGTGGGCGAGAAACACGTGGGCGGAAGTGGAGACTATTTGTCAGAACAGGGCAGATTTTTTTTTTTTAAGAAAAAAATAAAGAGGCTGAAAAGCTGTTGCAAGCCTAGTTTTTATTCCCCTACTGTTAAGAGAAATGGGTTTTTAATATTTAAAAACGTAAATGACAAAACGCGGGCGGATTTCAAAGCGAGGTGAAATTGGCACTTATTGTTCCGCGTAGCCATGGTAACCGGTAATGCACGTGCTAGTAAGAGCCCCCGGATTAAAATTTCGTCAGATTCAACTCCGACTATTAATACAATAATGCCTCTAATGGAAATAAAAAAACTTCACCTGACTCAAACTTAAATATGCTTACAATACTGCCGGCATGGAACAAAATATAAGATTTCGCAACTTATTTATTTGACATTTTCAGATATTATGGTTTAAAAACATTGTTAAATTTTCTTTCATTAGTGGTAAAAGACGTTTTGATTATCAATTTTTGTAATGAGGTTGTGAAATTCTAAAAGATATTGAAGTATAAATCTGCAGGTTGTTGTTTTTTCCCCCTTCCCTTGTCTTCTTGTAATTAAAAGCTGCGGCTAATTGCTGCTCCAATTAGTGCCGACCTTTAAAATTATTTTGTAAAATGATTAAAATGTTAATAGTTTTCGGTTCTTTGAAGTTTGCCAGATGCATAAATGGCGTCACAATAATTATTTGTAATATTTCGCAAAGCATTGTATTATAAATCTTAAATGGTATCAGAAGGATATGTGTACTATAGCAGTTTATATATATATATATATATATATATATATATATATATATATATATATATATATATATATGTATATATATATATGTATATATATATATATATGTATATATATATATATGTATATATATATATGTATATATGTATGTATATATATATATATATATGTATGTATATATATATATATATATATATATATATATATATATATATATATGTGACTAGGGTAGGCCTAGCCACTAGTTACAAATCTGATAACGAACGATAAGCCGAGACGCAGTATTACAGTCTGACGCAACATAGCAGGTGGCTTATTGGATCGGACTGATAACAATCTCAAAGCCAACGCGTGCTATTTTGGGAAACGGTACGAGGGGATTCAGACAGCCTGTCAACTTTGATTGATAGGATGCAGATGTTATTTCACGGACTGTACGTTAGAACTGCGCAACTAGTGGTCGGAGACATCGAGTACAAGTATCGATTACGGAGGAATACAAGTACGAGGACGAGTACGGATACAAGGGATAAATAGGAGGGGACGGCTGAACTCGTTCTCTTCCCTCTTCATCGCTCGCTTTAGATCAGTCAGTCTGTGTGACATATCAAGTTGGTTATATTGTGTTAAGAAGGACAATAGACATGTGGATTCAGTTATATGAAGCCTAGTGAGGACTGTTAGGGGTCAGTTGATTCAGACTATTATTGTGAAACATTCCTGTTGATTCATTGTGTTATATGGAAGCATTTCTTGATTCATGTAATAAAAGGATCAATAGCGAACCTGCATCTTCGAGTCTTTCTACTGTAGTCGATGTTGTGTAGCATGAGTGGTTCAACTCGTTACAATTGGCGTTGTCGGGCAGGATAGACTCGGGGAAGGTCACATTTGGCGCTGCGATCAGGATGAATTCAACTAGACTTGCCGGTTGAGGCACCCATAGTCAACCTTGTGCATAACTGTGTTTTGTGTGTATGTGAATTCGGACATTCAGGAACTGTGAAAATTGAGGAAAATTTTTTCATACACACACGGTAAGAAAGAACTCTTTTGTTTTACTTACGGGATAAAATGTCTACTCTGGACGAGAAGCAGACCCATATAGTGGTCCTACCCAGAGAGTCCCACATTAACAAATTTTACGGGGACGGGGATCCAACTTTAACCAACAGGTTCAGTGAAGAGGTCAAAGCGGCCTGGGCCTCGAGAGGCATGTCACCAGAGGAAAGATTAAGACTGCTGATGGGCAGTATAGGAGAGACGGTCAGGGCAGAGGTCAAATGCCACGATAAAACCATCCAATCAGATCCGGATAAGGTGCTGGATCTGATTATGGAGACCTTTGGGGAGAGACGGTCGGGATCGCAACTGCTGGCAGGGTTCGTAGGCTTAAGGCAGAGAATGGCGGAGAGTGTGATGGAGTACTCACACCGGATGAACAGGGCCTTTGATTCGGTAAAGGTCAAAACACCTGACATTGATGTGCGCCTACTGAGGGACCATTTCATCGAGGGGCTAGCAACCCCGATCCTAAGAAGAGAGTTGAAAGAGGAGGTCCACAAAGACCCGCAGTTGACCTTCCTTCAGGTCAGGAACTCAGCGATCCGCAGGTCCGAGGATGAGGACCAATCGAACTGTTCGGTGGACAAAGTCTCGGTGCCTGAACAGA